AAAATTTGAATTTGCTTGAAACGGTAACGAAATTCCAATTTGCAGCGAGGTCACACCAATTTCGGTTCGATTGACTCGCGAGGACCTTACATTCTGCGCGTCCAGTCATTATGAGCTGGAATTCCGGCGCAATGACGTGTAACTGCCCCTGTGTGCCCGCAGAAATTCGCCCGCGTGCGACTCTGAATTGTGACCCCCTATCATTGCGCTTCGATTAAAATTGCAATAAGGGGATGTACAATCTGGTGCAGTAAGAATATAAATTTGTATTAGTCATTATATAAGCGCATGCGCTTATATTTTTTACTCAATTATAAGCGCACCCCCCTAAAAAACACTGATTTATTATAAGCGCACCTGCGCTTTAATCCGGGGTAATACGGTATGTTGGGATGTGCATGGGTGGAGGGTGAAAACAAGCATGCATGTGCGTTCCTATTCAATCTCCTGCTGGAAGCCGTTCCGGAGGTGAACTCCTCTAATTTTGTCATGATGCATGATAGGGGAGGGCATGGATATCCGCCACATCCACTTGTCTCTCCCTCATACGGGAGTCTTTTTGCATCACCCATTTGGTTCGAAACTTCAAAAATAAGTTCAGGACAGATCTGGACGGACGAATTCTAGCAGCAGCAGCAGCCCTGACACGGTTTGTGTATCTCAAGACAATGGAAAAGATTGAGATGGAGTGTCCTGGTGGATCCGCGTACCTCGTGGACAATGGATTGGGTGTTAAGTGGGCGACAGCTTATTTTGGAGCACCGCGTTATGGATGCTTGTCTTCTAACCCCGTTGAGTCTCACAATGCATCGCTTTCGGGATTGCGGGATAAGAATCCGCCGCAGGTGCTGCTTGGCTTGGCGGAAAAGCTATCGACGAAGATCGAAAAGAGGCGCCGACTCTACTCCGAGATGACAACCGCGGACTTCCCTCCCAGGACAAAGCCAATAGTCCTTGGGAATCGCGATGAGAGCAGAAGATACAGGGTGGCTGAATCGGGAGAGAACGAGTACATAGTACGCGAAGGGGCGGAGAGGCGAGTCGTGACCATAAACCCCGAGGATCCTGCAGCCACCCACTGCTCATGTGGCTACACCAAGTAAGTGGTGTTTAGGTTCTGTTTCTACCATTGCTAGCGTATGTTTCACTAGTGTATACTTGATCCAACTGAACCATGAATATTGCGTTAATTAGACTTTACCATATCATGCAAGATCAACCCTCATGATGTACCCACTCTAAAATTCAGCCCCCATTTACCCCAAAAATAGAGGAATTCGGGGACAATAAAGTCGGCGTAACTTCCTGCTCATTTATGCCAACATCATGGATATTTGGAGCGGCCAAAGGGCCATGTAATCCTCGTTCCTGCTGCTATTGTTATGTTTCCTACAACCTTTTGCCCATTTATCCCAACCTTATACCCTCTCTTACTTTATGGCCATGTGTCCAAGCAGTAGGGGCATTCCCCATGAGATATGGGAACATGGCGATACGCAATATCCTGTTTAGACAGAAAGTTTCAGTTGCCTATGACTCAATGAACCCTCCCTCTCCCTCCGACCCTCTACCTTGCCCATGCAGAGGAATTAGTTCGACAAAGTGTCGTGTGTACATTTGCTTCCCGCAATCATGTTTGCTGAATGTGGGCTTTTTTTAAGCCATGTGTTCAATTGTGTTAAGATATCTTGCTGGTTTTAGCTATTCAACGAAGAGTTTGTACTCTCTACTTTTACTCCTTACTCAGGTCTTCACTTCCCCAAACCCTTGGGAAGGCACGGTTTCTCATATTTGCTGGAATTATGATAGTTTTACTAATGCGTTAATCCCTTTCTACCTCTTCACACATTTATCCCGAAAATAGGGAATACGGGCTGCCATGCGTGCACATCTTCGCCGTGTTCAAAAATGATGGTCACAAGGCGCACGCAGTGATCCATAAATATCACACCACGGATGCACTGCAACAAGTGTACAGAACGCCGATTAAGCTCCTTGACCCAACCTCTGTGGTCCCTGACGGCGTTACCCTCCCCCCGGTCTACAAGAAGAAGGCAGGTCGGCCACCAAAGCGAAGAATGCGGTCCACAGGAGAGATGGACCCAATCAAGTTGCGCAAGTGTGGAAAGTGCAGTGAGTACGGTCATAATGCCCGAACATGCGAGGTCCGTGCAGCCAACAGAGTGTTGTGGGAGGCCTTGCAAACCCCCGCAGGGCAATTGTCGGTGCAAACAATGACGGACGCAGATGGTTGCAGCGCATGTAGCCCTGTGCAACGCTTGCAACCGAACTCACCGCAGAGGGATTAGGTGTCAAGCCATGCGTAGACAAGCACAGCCGTGGTGATGTGGAGGAGGAGTCGTGCAGCGAAGATGATGGGAGTTTCGGTTTGGGAGAAGGGATTGGTGAAGAGGATGAGGAGGGACGGGATGATCGCGATACCGTGACATATGGTGGGGCGCTGATCGAGGTGTTTGGAAGGGATCCCGGAATTGCCGGTGATGTTTGTCTTGATGAACTTACAACCACGAACTCAGACTTGCCCACTCAAACAGGCAATTCCGAGACAACACAGATTGACATCACACAAGAGAGTCAGGCGGGATGAGTGGGGCTGAACGAGGATGAAAGTGAATGAGAGGGAATGAGAGGGAATGAGAGTGGATGAGAGGGAATGAGAGCGGATGTGAGGGAATTAGAGAGAATGAAAAGGTATGAGAGGAAATGAATAGGAATGAGAGGGATTGAGAAGGAATGAGAGTGATGAGAGTGAATAAGAGGGGATGAGAGGGGATGTGAGGGGATAAGAGGGGATAAGTGTGCATGATAGTGTATGGAAGTGTATGAGAGTGGATGAGAGCGGATTAGGGGGTATGAGTGTATACGAGAGGGGATGAGAGTGTATCAGACAGTGGATGAGAGGGGTTGAGAGTGAAAAAGAGTGTATGTGAGTGTATGAGAGAGAATGAGAGGAGTTGAGAGTGTATGAGAGTGGATGAGGATGGATGAGGGTGTGTATGAGAGTGTTTGAGAGTGTGTGAGAGTGTATGAGAGGGGATGAGAGGGGATGAGAGGGGATGAGAGGGGATGTGAGGGGATAAGAGGGGATGAGAGTCTATGAGAGTGTATGAGGAGGGATGAGACTGGATGAGTGTGTATGGCCCAGTATGAGAGGGGATGAGAGTGTATATGATAGTGGATGGAAGGGTATGAGAGTGAATGAGAGCGGATTAGGGGGTATGAGTGTGTATGAGAGGGGATGAGAGTGTATCAGACAGTGGATGAGAGGGGTTGAGAGTGAATAAGAGTGTATGTGAGTGTATGAGAGAGAATGAGAGGGGTTGAGAGTGTATGAGAGTGGATGAGGAGGGATGAGAGTGTGTAAGAGAGTGTATGAGAGTGTGTGAGAGTGTATGAGAGTGTATGTGAGTGTATTAGAGGGGATGATATGGGATGTGTATGTATGAGAGTGTAAGAGAGGGGATGAGAGTGTTTGAGAGTGTATGAGGAGGGATGAGACTGGATGAATGTGTATGGGAGAGTATGAGAGGGGATGAGATAATATATGATAGTGGATGGGAGGGTATGAGAGTGAATGAGAGAGTATGAGAGTGCATACTAGGGGATGAGAGGGGATGAGAGGGGATGAGACTGTATGAGAGTGCATACGAGGGGATGAGAGGGGATGAGAGGGGATGAGAGTGTATGAGAGTGTATGAGGAGGGATGGGACTGGATGAGTGTGTATGGGAGAGTATGAGAGGGGATGAGAGTGTATATGATAGTGGATGGAAGGGTATGAGAGTGTATGAGAGCAGATTAGGGGGTATGAGTGTGTATGAGAGGGGATGAGAGTGTATCAGACAGTGGATGAGAGGGGTTGAGAGTGAATAAGAGTGTATGTGAGTGTATGAGTGAGAATGAGAGGGGTTGAGAGTATATGAGAGTGGATGAGGAGGGATGAGAGTGTGTAAGAGAGTGTATGAGAGTGTGTGAGAGTGTATGAGAGTGTATGTGAGTGTATAAGAGGGGATGATATGGGATGTGTGTGTATGAGAGTGTAAGAGAGGGGATGAGAGTGTTTGAGAGTGTATGAGGAGGGATGAGACTGGATGAATGTGTATGGGAGAGTATGAGAGGGGATGAGATAATATGATAGTGGATGGGCGGGTATGAGGGTATGAGAGTGAATGCGAGAGTATGAGAGTGCATACTAGGGGATGAGAGGGGATGAGAGGGGATGAGACTGTATGAGAGTGCATACGAGGGGATGAGAGGGGATGAGAGGGGATGAGAGTATATGAGAGTGTATGAGGAGGGATGGGACTGGATGAGTGTGTATGGGAGAGTATGAGAGGGGATGAGAGTGTATGTGATAGTGGATGGAAGGGTATGAGAGTGTATGAGAGCGGATTAGGGGGTATGAGTGTGTATGAGAGGGGATGAGAGTGTATCAGACAGTGGATGAGAGAGGTTGAGAGTGAATAAGAGTGTATGTGAGTGTATGAGAGAGAACGAGAGGGGTTGAGAGTGTATGAGAGTGGATGAGGAGGGATGAGAGTGTGTAAGAGAGTGTATGAGAGTGTGTGAGAGTGTATGAGAGTGTATGTGAGTGTATAAGAGGGGATGATATGGGATGTGTGTGTATGAGAGTGTAAGAGAGGGGATGAGAGTGTTTGAGAGTGTATGAGGAGGGATGAGACTGGATGAATGTGTATGGGAGAGTATGAGAGGGGATGAGATAATATATGATAGTGGATGGGAGGGTATGAGAGTGAATGAGAGAGTATGAGAGTGCATACTAGGGGATGAGAGGGGATGAGAGGGGATGAGACTGTATGAGAGTGCATACGAGGGGATGAGAGGGGATGAGAGGGGATGAGAGTGTATGAGAGTGTATGAGGAGGGATGAGACTGGATGAGTGTGTATGGGAGAGTATGAGAGGGGATGAGAGTGTATATGATAGTGGATGGAAGGGTATGAGAGTGTATGAGAGCGGATTAGGGGGTATGAGTGTGTATGAGAGGGGATGAGAGTGTATCAGACAGTGGATGAGAGAGGTTGAGAGTGAATAAGAGTGTATGTGAGTGTATGAGAGAGAACGAGAGGGGTTGAGAGTGTATGAGAGTGGATGAGGAGGGATGAGAGTGTGTAAGAGAGTGTATGAGAGTGTGTGAGAGTGTATGAGAGGGGATGAGAGGGGATGAGAGGGGATGAGAGGGGATGAGAGGGGATGAGAGGGGATGTGAGGGGATCCGAGGGGATGAGTGTGAATGAGAGTGTATGAGAGTGTATGAGTGTGTATGGGAGTGTATAAGAGGGGATGAGAGTGTATATGAGTATATATGAGTGGGTACCAGAGGGTATGAGAGTGTATGAGAGGGAATGACATGGCATGAGAGGGGATGAGAGCGTATGAGAGTGAATGCGAGTGTATGATAAGGGATGATGAGAGTGGTTGAGAGTGTGTGAGAGTGTATGTGAGGGGATGAGAGTGTATGAGAGTGTATGAGAGTGAATGAGAGGCGATGAGAAGGGATGAGAGGGAAAGAGAGGGAATGAGAGGGAATGAGAGTGAATGAGAGGGGATGAGAGGGAATGGGAGTGTGTGTGAGGGGATGAGAGGGGATGATAGTGTATGAGAGTGAATGGGAGTGTATGATAGGGGATGAGAGTGTATGAGAGTGTATGAGAGGGAATGAAGAGTGGATGAAAGGAGATGAAAGTGGATGAGAGGGAAGTAGAGGGAATGAGAGTGGATGAATGGGAATGAGAGGGAATATGAGTGAATGAGAGGGGATCAAAGGGAATGAGAGTGTGTGAGGGGATGAAAGGGGATGAGAGTGTAGGAGAGGGGATGAGAGTGTAGGAGAGGGGATGAGAGTGTATGAGATTGTATGAGACGGAATGAGAGGGGATGAATGGGGATGAAAGCGAATGAAAGGGGATGACATTGTATGAGAGGAGATGAGTGTGTTTGAGAGGGGGTGTGCGAGAGGGATGGAGAGGGGATGAGTGTGTATGAGAGGGGGTGTGCGAGAGGGATGGAGAGGGGATGAGTGTGTATGAGAGGGGGTGTGCGAGAGGGATGGAGAGGGGATGAGTGTGTATGAGAGGGGGTGTGCGAGAGGGATGGAGAGGGGATGAGTGTGCATGAGAGGGGGTGTGCGAGAGGGATGGAGAGGGGATGAGTGTGTATGAGAGGGGGTGTGCGAGAGGGATGGAGAGGGGATGAGTGTGTATGAGAGGGGGTGAGCGAGATGGATGGAGAGGGGATGAGTGTGTATGAGAGGGGGTGTGCGAGAGGAATGGAGAGGATACTCAACGTAACTAGAGGGGACTAGAGAGCAGCCAGGCACGAGACAACATAAAAGAAATGCGCTGGCCTGGCACGAGAGAGGGAATTGCCATAAAATTCGGCTTTGGCCGGGGATCACACGGCATGCAAGGGAGCACGAGAGAAAGATGGATAGGAGAGAAGGGAGCACGAGAGGGGAGGCTAGACGAGAGTGCATGGGCACCTTGGTCTCGGCGGTGGACAGAGAGGCGCGACGCGCTGAGCAGCGGGCTTTTGGCTTGGCGGATCGTCGCGATGCGCCCAGCAGGGTGGCCGCATTGCGCATTGCGACGACGGCGGCCTGGTCGGCGCGATGCGCGGAGCGGCCAAAAGCTGGCCGCATTGCGCATCGCGACGGCGGCGGCCCGGTCGGCGCGATGCGCGGAGCGGCCAAACGCTGGCCGCAATGCGCATCGCGGCGGCGGCTGCTTTTGATCGTCTCGATGCGTCGAGCGGCGAAGTGGCCGCACTGCATCGCGCGACGATCGGGCCCGATAAGCGCGATGCGCGGAGCGGCGCGCCAGCCGCTGGGCGCATCGCGACAGCGGTCTGATCGATTTTTTTTACGTATGTTATTAGCATTTTACGAGTAACAAGAGACTCAACGTGAACGGATGGGAAAAGGCTTTCTGGCTTAGGCACGCACCGTTGATAGACGTCAGGTGCTTGGAACGAGCGCCTAGGAAGCGCGCTGGCGAAAGCTATAGCTAGTAGCGTGGGTTATGGATGGTGGCGCGAGCTAGAGAGGTGTGGCGGGAAGTGTGCTAGTCGAAGGTAACTTGGTTGGAACCGTATCAGGCAGGGGGGTGTACAGCACGTCGGGTCGTGGTGTGGTTACGGTGGGCTGGAGGCTCGACGGTACAGGCGTGCATCAAACCTCTCCGCACGAGTTGGCGCGAGCGGTCGGCCGGGTTTCAGGAATTTCAGGCGGGAGTTTCATGTGTTACCATTCGCGTGATTCTTTAGCTGTTGCTAGTGACTGATTCCGTGACCCCGCTTACCAAGCCCGTCACGATACCCGATACAGTTACCGTACGCATTTTTTTTTTTACCATTGACGTTACGTGGTCCCATGATTGTTACTTGTGGCATATTTTCCCGGTTTGATAACAACCTACATTCATTACAGTTCTCCTTGTTAATACGGTAATGAAACGTGCCAGGCAAAAGAAAGTTGAAGATATTGTTATTAGCAAGCAAGCAACTCAAATTAGGCAGGCGATAAAGACAATACTGACATTGTTATAACATTGAGCGCTGACAGGGGCAGCACAACCACATGATTCGTAGTGGGATAGCCCCAAGGGTATGCTAATGCTGTGCTAATGCTGTGCTAGGCATCGAAGCCAGAATAGACACCCTGGTCCCGGAGCTGCCGCTTCTCCTCTACGTAATTCTTCCCTCGGCTCGCCTGCCCCGCATCGCGCTTCCTCTTCTCGCGCTGGCTGAAGCTCATCGCTGCAGCCCCCCCTCGCCCGCGCTCCCCCCGCCCTCCTCCTCGGCGCTGCCTCTCGCGCTCTCTGTGCTCCGCCGCCAGCTCCGCCCTCAGCTGCCGCGCCGCTGCCCCGTGCGCCAACGCCCTCGCTGCCGCTGCCTGCTCGCACCAGCACCATGCACACATGGTCACACATGGTCACACATGGTCACACATGGGCCCACATGGGCACACGGGCACACGAGCACATGGGCATATGGCACATGGGCATATGGCACATGGGCATATGGCACATGGGCAGGGCGTGGGGACGAGCACAGGGGAGCAGGGGCACATGGGAGGAGTCAGTGCGGCAGCAAAGGCTTCGAGTGGAAGCAGCAAGTGAACTGGCCGGTGCAACACATTCACAACGACAACACGCATGGCCCTTATTACCATGGAGAACGGTGGTGAGTGGTGTGACACGGTCCGAACATCCCCCCCGGACATCCCTCGGCATACCTCAGCGCCAGCATACCTCAGCGCCAGCATACCTCAGCGCCAGCATACCTCAGCGCCGGCATCACTCGCCAGCTCCTGCAGCTGCCGGCTCTCCTCCCACGCCCGCCTCCGCTTCTCCCTCTCCTCCTCCCCATCCTCCCCCGCCTCACTCCCCCGCCCCTGCCCCTGCGCATGCCCCTCGCGCCCATGGCCGCGCCCCCACTTGCCCCACTCCACGGCGGCGCTCTGCTGCTCGTCGGGCAGCAGCAGCACTGACGGGCCGCCCGCCAGCCCGTGCCGCACCAGCGCCGCGTAGTCCACCGCTGCGCGCACACAGAGCGGCGCGTGAAAGGGTGTGGGGCGGCAGGGGGCGCAGAGCAGAGTGGGAGATGAGGAGCATACATTGTATGGTCGAGAGCCGCGCTACATCACACCACCGCTCCCCCCCACCACGACATCCTACCTCCGCCCTTCCGCTGCCCCGCTGCCTCCACTCCTCCGCTCGTTGCCTTCTCTTCCCCTCCTTCTTCCTCCTCCCCCTCCTTCTCATCATCCCCCTCCTCCTCCTCGTCTCCTTCCTCTTCGTCCTCCTCGCTCTCGCTCTCCTCCAACCCCGCTAGAGGGTCCATCACTTTAAAGCAGCGGTATACATTTGGCGCTACTGTTCAGTTTGTACAGTGATGGAACACCATTTCGCCCAGACGAAAAAAACCGGGGGGAGCGAGAGTGTTGGCGAAAACCAGATGCACTTGTGTTGTGAGGGAACCAGATTGGGGTTGGTTGTGAGTCACAGAATGGATAAAATGCCCTCGCCACCGAGCTCACCACTAACTCTCACACACCAAGTAAAATAAGCGCCAAATACCTACTCCAGAAAGAAACAACCACGGCGCGCGCTAGAAGGTGCTACGCCAGCAGCGCGACCAGACCACACACAAAGTGGCGCGTGAGTTCGGGACGAATTCAAATAGCCAAAAGGGCGAAACGTGTAGAAAAATCGCGCCCAGGAAGCAGCAGCCTTTCTAGTAACCGTGACGCACTCACCTCTAGCCTCGCACGCGCCCTAACATTCCGCCCGATCCAGCATAGCACGCTCCAGCATTTCACGCTCAGGATAGCAGCGCACGCAAGCAAAACGCGCGCCGCAAGGGCGCTCGTAATATTCATAGCGCGCGTGGGTACCAGTGACGAATCGTGTTCTCCGAGGGGACACACCGTCTTTGCGCATATAAGAAGAGGTGGGAGCTGCGTCACGTGCCCCCAAACGCATTCGTGCCGTCTCATACGCATTCCCCATTCCGCATTCCCCATTCCGCATTCCCCATTCCGCATTCCCCATTCCGTAATCCCCATTCCGCATTCCCCATTCCGCATTCCCCATTCCGCATTCCCCATTCCGCATTCCCCATTCCGCATTCCCCATCCCACATTCCCCATTCCGCATTCCCCATTCCGCATTCCCCATTCCGCATTCCCCATTCCGCATTCCCCGTTCCGCTCTCCCCCTTCCGTAGGCCCCCTTTCGCGCCGCCCCTTCCACGTTCCCCCTTCCGCGTTCCCATTTCCACATTCCCCCTTCCGCAACCCCCCTTTAGCGTTCCCCCTTCCGCCAACCCCCTTCCGCATTCCGCCGTCCGCCTTCCCCCTTCCGCGTTCCCCCTCTCGCGGTAACCCTTTTGCGTTCACCCTTCCGCATCCCCCCTTCTCCATCCCCCTTGCGCATCCCCCCTTCCGCATTCCCCCATCAGGCCCCATGCTCCCCCCCATCAGGCCCCATGCATCCCCCCATCAGGCCCCATGCTTCCCCCCATCAGGCCCCATGCTTCCCCCCATCAGGCCCCATGCTTCCAGACACGAGGCCCCATGCTTCCCCCCATCAGGCCCCATGTTTCCCCCCCATCAGGCCCCATGCTTCCCCCCATCAGGCCCCATGTTTCCCCCCCATCAGGCCCCATGCTCCCCCTCATCAGGCCCCATGCATCCCCCCATCAGGCCCCATGCTTCCCCCCATCAGGCCCCATGCTTCCCCCCATCAGGCCCCATGCTTCCAGACACGAGGCCCCATGTTTCCCCCCATCAGGCCCCATGCATCCCCCCATCAGGCCCCATGCTTCCCCCCATCAGGCCCCATGCTCCCCCCCATCAGGCCCCATGCATCCCCCCATCAGGCCCCATGCTTCCAGACACGAGGCCCCATGCTTCCCCCCATCAGGCCCCATGTTTCCCCCCCATCAGGCCCCATGCTTCCCCCCATCAGGCCCCATGTTTCCCCCCCATCAGGCCCCATGCTCCCCCCCATCAGGCCCCATGCTTCCCCCCATCAGGCCCCATGCTTTCCCCCATCAGGCCCCATGCTTCCCCCCATCAGGCCCCATGCTTCCAGACACGAGGCCCCATGCTTCCCCCCATCAGGCCCCATGTTTCCCCCCCATCAGGCCCCATGCTCCCCCCCATCAGGCCCCATGTTTCCCCCCATCAGGCCCCATGCATCCCCCCATCAGGCCCCATGCTTCCAGACACGAGGCCCCATGCTTCCCCCCATCAGGCCCCATGTTTCCCCCCCATCAGGCCCCATGCTTCCCCCCATCAGGCCCCATGTTTCCCCCCCATCAGGCACCATGCTCCCCCCCATCAGGCCCCATGCTTCCCCCCATCAGGCCCCATGCTTCCCCCCATCAGGCCCCATGTTTCCCCCTGCAGGCCCCCTGTTTCCCCCAGCGTGCCCCCTGTTTCCTCCTGCAGGCCCCCTGTTCCCCCCATGTCAGACCCATTTCTCCCGCCTGATAGCCCCATATCCCCCCCGTGATAGCCCCATGTTTCCCCCATGCTAGCCTCATGTTTCCAAGGCTGGGTTATGAGTGCATCGCTGCTCACAGCAGCATGGAAAGTGCTCACCAGCAAAGGAACCACTCAGCCCGCATACTCTTACTCACCTTCGCTTGTCACATCCTCTTTTCCCACCCTACCCTTCCCTTCCAAGGTGTCAAGGTGAGTGCATCGGAGCGAACAACAACGTATGGAGTGCTCACCAGCAAGGGAACCACGTGCCTGACCACACTCTCCCCTGCCCTTCCAATGTTGGGTGGTGAGTGCATCGCTGCTCACAGCAACGTGAGGAGTGCTCACCAGCAAAGGGACCTCCCTTCTAGAACACTCTTACTCGCCTTCGCCACTCACATCCTCTTTTCTCTCCCTCCCCTTCCCTTCCAAGGCGCCGTGGTGACGGCATCGGGCGAACAGCATTGTGTGGAGTGCACGCCAGCAAAGGAACCACCCTGTCACCACACTCTTACGCACATTCGCAGGTCACATCCTCGCGGGCCTCCCTCTCCTTCCCTCCCATGGTTGGGTGGTGAGTGCATCGCTGCTCTCAGTAGCGTGTGGAGTGCTCACTAGCATGGGAACCTATCAGCCCGCACAATCCTACTTGCCTTTCCTCGTCACATCTACGTTTCCCTCTGTCCCCCTCCCTTCCCAGACTGGGCGGTGGGTGCATCGCTGCTCATCTTGGCGTGTGGAGCGCTAAGATCCGACTGGATGGCCAACTGGCGCCGCTCAATCGCCTGGTGTCTCTAGACCGGTTGGCCATTTGGGCTGCTCTCCTCGCTGATCTGCCCCTTGCTGCCAACCCCGCCTGGTGGGTGCATTGCACGCTGCACAGGTGACTTCACCAATTTACTCAAAAGTCGCCTGCTGGGTGCCCTGCTGTGCATGCCCCCTGCATGTGAGGGAAGGGAGAGAAAAAGCCTCCCCGAATGCTCGCTGCACTCCTCACTTCCATGCCTACATGCTCGCCCCGTTTTCCATCCCATGCTCCCCTCATCTTTACCCGCAAGCTTTGCTCCCATGATTCCCCCACGCTATCCCAAAGATTCCCCCTGCAGGCCCCATGTTGCCCGCTGCATGCCCCACGTTTTCCCCCATCTCTGGCCCCATGTTACCCCCGTGTTAGCCCCATGTTTTGCACGAGGCTGCTAGCGCCATGTTTCCCGCGTGCTAGCCCCATGGCCCTTGCTATTAGTATACCCCTTGCTAGGCCTCACTCCCCCCTCATCATGCACACAGTATCCCCCTGCAAGCCCACCCTCTCCCGTCATCATGCCATCGCTAGCCAACCCTCTCCCATGCGGTATGTTCGTCTCATCCTATGGGCGGGCCCACCGCAATCAGAAGGGGGCCAGTGGCGGTTCGTCTACTGGCCGTGAGTTTGGGAGTGAGCATGAAGGGGTGCGTGGAGGCATGCGTGGTGGTGAGCATGAAGGGGTGCGTGGTGGCATGCATGGTGGTGTGCGGGGTGGAACGTATGGTGATGTGCATGGGGGTGTGGGTGATGGCATGCATGGTGGAGTGCATAGGGTGGTTAGTGGCAAATCGTAGCATTGACCAGCGTGTGATTGTTCTACTCTATCAAAGCATACAAGAGCTGCATTTGCATGTCAAGGTCCCCCTTTTCATTCTCCCATCCTCCTCGGACCGTTTCACGACCCTCCTTACAACCAGCCCAATGGTATGCTGGTTCAATCCTTCAGGCCCGCTCTCACCCCCATCCCCCATGCAAACCATCCTCCTCTTCTCATCTCCTCGGTCCCCCAGCCCCGCCCCATTCTTCCTCATACCATACTCACCCCGCCGAGTCTCACTAGACCCTCCTCCCTTTTCTTTTCTCACTGTTTCTGCCTACTTACCCCCTTTCCATTCTCCCAACCCAACCACCCCCATGTCTTCCTCCCAGCTGCTAGCGGCTAAGCTTGCGTGCACGACCCGTCACAGGGCAGGCATGATTGGCTCGGTTTCGCCTGCCGACTTTTGTGCGGCACACATGGCAGCACTGGAAGGGTTGCACGTCCACTCCGCATCCGCTTCTGCTGCTGCTGGCCTGGGGGCAGGTGGAGGTGGAAATGGGGCTGCTTCGGATGGTGGTGGTGGTATAGGTGATAAGCGCCTCTGACCAAGCAATGGCACTCCCCTCACTGGCAGGTCCACCAAGCATCCCTCACTGCATTGCTCTCCTCTGCTGCACACCACGCCAGGCATGCAATTGCAGCAAGTTGGACGTGCGGCAGCTCCCAGCATAGTTGACAGGTTCGGTTTGTGGTATATTATACTTGCAGACACTCCCAAATGCGTGGCAGCCCTACTGTGTATGACTTTTGAACATTGAAGGCCTTCAAGCCATAAACACTTTGCAACGTTGTACAAATGGAGTACTTACAACAGTATTGACTAAATACATAGCCCTAATCACACAACCCTGGGTTCCACCATACCGACCACGTTGCTAGTCATATGCCCGTGCTCGATTTTTATCCCCCTTCACCCTGTCGCTGCTCTTTTTGCTCATCTTCAAAACCAAATCCTGAAACCTAGCGTCAATCGTTGTCGACACCCACGTCATTGCGAGAACATCATTGATTTCTGGCGGGGAACATAAGAAAGGAGTGGGGAACATAGTGTAGGGAGTAGGCAAAACAAAGCAGCGGTGTGTGCAGTGATTGGAAGTCATCCCTGCAGGGGTGGATGAGAGGACAGGTAGGGAAGTGGGGGGGACCTAATGTGTTGATCCATCGATGGATTGCGAGCGCAAAAGGAAGGGTAGGGTATGGCAGGGTATGGCGCGGGATGGATGGGTATGGCAGGCGATGGATGGGTATGGCGCGGGATGGATGGGTATGGCTGGAGTATGGAATGGTATGGTACAGTTCTGCTAAACAGGGAATTGTAGGGCAGGGTATGGCAAGGAGCGGCAAGGTATGGCAGGGGAGGGGTGAGTTTGGCTGGCCTATGTATGGGTATGGGAGGAGATAGAAGGGTTTTAGGGTACGGTGGAGGGTAGGGTGGGTGCAGATAGCCGACCGACTCACACTGCAGTGGATAGGTTTGGGTGTCTAATCCTTCGAACTGGTTGAACATCCTGTGCACTCCCTCTGCAGCACAAGCAACGGTGGAGTCGCGATTACTTCACAGACAAGAAACTGCACGGTGGGGGAAGGACAAGGTGAGACAAGTTGCGAGGAAGGTCAGTGGAGGGGGTATGAGTGCAAGGAACATTCTTGGAGGGAAGGGAGGGACGGGAGGGAAGGGAGAGAAGGGAGGGACGGGATGGAAGGGAGGAAAGGGAGAGAAGGGAGGGACGGGAGGGAAGGGAGGGAAGGGAGGGAGGGCGGGAGGGAAGGGAGAGAAGGGAGGGACGGGAGGGAAGGGAGAGAAGGAAGGGACGGGAGGGAAGGGAGAGAAGGGAGGGACGGGAGGGAAGGGAGAGACGGGAGGGAAGGGAGGGAAGGGAGAGAAGGGAGGGAAGGGAGGGACGGGAGGGAAGGGAGAGAAGGGAGGGACGGGAGGGAAGGGAGAGAAGGGAGGGAAGGGAGAGAAGGGAGGGAAGGGAGAGAAGGGAGGGAAGGGAGAGACGGGAGGGAAGGGAGGGACGGGAGGGACGGGAGGGAAGGGAGGGAAGGGAGGGACGGGAGGGAAGGGAGGGAAGGGAGGGACGGGAGGGAAGGGGAGAGAAGGGAGGGACGGGAGGGAAGGGAGAGAAGGGAGGGACGGGAGGGAAGGGAGAGAAGGGAGGGAAGGGAGGGACGGGAGGGACGGGAGGGAAGGGAGGTACGGGAGGGACGGGAGGGACGAATAGTCGGCCGCCCGGAAAAGGGATCAGGGAGGCGGGACGACATGTCTGGCGGCGGAAAATGGGAATCGGGCGGCGGGAAGCGCAGCGGGCGGCGGCGGGAAAGGGGAAGCGGGCCGCGGGAACGGGAATCGGACGGCGGGAACTGGAATTTGGCGGCGCGAAAGGAGAAGCGGGCGGCGCGAAAGGGGAATCGGGCGGCGGGAGCGGGATTAAGGCGGCGGGAATTGGAATTTGGCGGAGCGCAAGGGGAATCGAGCGGCGGGAAGGGGCGGTCGGGCGGCCCGCCCGGAATCCATGGGCGGGAAAGGGGATTCAGGTGGCGTGGAAGGGGATTTCGGAGGCTGGATAGGGGAACCGGGCGGCGGGAATGTGGTTCGGGCGATGCGAAGGGGAGTAGGGCGACGGGAAAGGGAACCCGCCGGAAGGAAGAAGTGGTGGGAGCAGGGAGTCGAGCGGAGGGAAGGGGAATCGCCGGACAGCGTGACTGGGGTTTCGTGGCGGTGGAAATGGGAAACCGGGCGGGAGGGAGTTGCATCAGGCGACGCGAATGGGGAATCGGGCGTCGCACAAGGGGAATCGCGCCGCAGATAAGGGCTATGGCGAACCCTAAGCTCCGTGTATTTGGCGCCGGAAAATAATCAATGGCTCTGTAGGTGTTTGACCTACGCGTGAGGCGCGCTATAATGACATTGGATTGCAGTGTTTTTGGAATTTACCTATTTAGTGATGACTTAGAGCGCTCTGGGGGTGGGGATAGTGGTGAGGAGGCATGTCCTTCAGTATACTTTTGGCTAGCCATAAACTTTTGACGAGTGAGTCAGGTGAGAGGGGATGGTGTTGAACTTGTCGCTGTGTCCGAAGTCGAGAGACCCTGTAATTTGGTTACCACCTTGTACCTTTTATAAAGTTTTGGCCTTCCCACTGCCAAATGTATACCGCTGCTTTAAGCAACTTCGACATTCGCGAAACTCAATCCAGGTCGCGCACACCACTACAAGCGTCTCGCTCCCTCACGCCCTCTCACGCGCTCCACTCCCTCTTCTCGCGCTCTAGCTCGTGTTGAGCTGTCACTACTACCGCGCAGGTGCCCCAAGTGCCACCGAGTAAGCGCGCGAAGCTAGATGAGTAGCTGGCGGACGACGCGAATTGCGGAAAGCGCTGAAGAGGAGAAGTGTGGATGTTGGCTAAATTGCTGGACGAACGGGGTCGACATGGTGGGGCTCGTTATTGTAGTGGAAATTGGAAAACATACGACAGAAACTTCAATAGGGGGCCAAGCTATACGCAGTGGTTTTAGAAATATAGAATAGTACACTGATTGATATGTGAAATTGCTGCAGTCATACAGTACACCGAAATTTTACAAAACAGCACATTAGAGCAGAGCAGGGCCGCTGGGCACACTCTGCAGACCTGGTGTGCTGCACAGGAAGATTATACTCGCTTCATTCCACCAATCAAGCATCAGAGTGTCTAGACTAGAGGCGCCTCCCTTTCTTTTCGATTGGAAGCGCAACAAAAGAATAGTTGGTATTTGTAGGAAGCTAGCTATCCTAGGTCCTACCTAAGCTCTATTGGTCCTATGGCAACACGCTATTCACTGACGCAGCAGCTGGGCTAGGCGCCCTTGGTGCTGCACGCACGACAGTGGGGAGGGATCGCACGGGTGTGCATGGGCTGACTGAAGCCGTGGGTTGAGACAGTTTGGCAGGCCCATGAGAGATGGATTGTGGTATGCTTCGGGTGGGCGACGTGGTGGGAGGGATGGGGCTGCACGCGGCTTGTGTGCCCCTCAGGCAGTGCCACCTATCTGTGCAGGGCCCCGTGTGCATGCAGGCGAGACGAGGAGGGATGGAAGAGGGCGGCGGCTAGAGGAGGTCGATGTTGCACTGCTGCACCATGTCATCATCGGCCAGCACGTAGCGGCTCCACAGCCCCTTGAACTCCTTGATTGCCGTGTCCAGCCACGGCTTCTGTCACCCCACGCCACCACATCACCGCGAGTACGTGTGAGAGGGGGGAAGGGGGAAAGGACGAAATGAGAGATATGAGGAGGGCGCGTGAGGGGGGCTGGAGCGAGTGGGAAGCATGAAGCAAGGAAGGGGACTGGGGATGGCGGCACAGATGGCAGCATGGATGGCAGCATGGATGGCAGCATGGATGGCAGCATGGATGGCAGCATGGATGGCAGCATGGATGGCAGCATGGATGGCAGCATGGATGGGCGTGGAGGAACAAGCACGGAGGGTGCAGGCAGCGAGGGGACGTACCGCGTTGCCATTGTAGTGCAGCACGGCAGCCTGCTGGATGAGGTCGGTGGGCGTGGCCTTGTCATAGCCCAGCCCCAGCACGTGCCAGTGTGGGTCCAGCGGGGCCGTGAGGTTGTAGAACGTCATCAGCCCGGGTGGTAGCGTGCCCAGCTGCCACAGCTGCCTCTCCGCGTTCTGCTCACACAGCACGGGCACATGGAGAGAGGATGTGGTTGGTGGGGGGGTGTGTTCTGCCATGTCGGCAGGGCGGAAGACGCACACAGGGGGCAACACAGAGGGGCAGGCAGAGGTAGGTAGAGGAGCAGGCAGGGAGGCAGGGGGAGGAGGGGAGAGCCGGGTCGCACCATGGACTGGTACTTGTGGTAGACGTCTGTGAGCCCCTTGCGGCGCCACTGAGCGAGGTCAAACACGTTCATGCCGTACGCCCACCCACAGCCGTCGCGGTCAAAGTGATCTCGGATGAAGGGGTGTGAGAAGTTGAGGTACTTGTGCAGGCGGTGGAACGCACTGCCCTGGCGGCACGTGTACACGGCGCCGTTGACGGCCCCGTGCAGCGGCAGGGAGAAGAGCGGGCTGAGGTCGCGCTGCACCACCACGTCGTCGTCCAGAAACACCACTCGCTCCAGCGCCGGGTACATCTGCGCCATGGGGTGAGGCGTGTTGGGGGGAGGGTGTTTGGGGGGAGGAGGGAGATGGGATTAGGCACAGGAGGGGTGATGGAGCAGGAGTGGGTGATGCAATTGGGAGGCTTTGTGGGGAGGGTGGGAGAGCGAATGAGGCAGGGGGTGGTGCGATGGGGCAGGTGCGACGGGCAGTGCCGCTGTGCAGGTGGCGTGGCACCGCAGGTGGCGTGGAACAGGGCATCCAGGCACGGGGTGGGTGGGGGGGGGAGGGAGGGCGGACCTCGGGGAGGTAAAATCGGAGGTGGTTGAGGATGGAGAGGTACTTGGGGTTCTTGAACTTTAGCTGCTTCTGCCCCGCCCCTGCCGCCGCCCCTGCCGCCTCTGCCTCTGTGCCTGCGGTCCCCTGTGGCCGCAGCACCCCGCTGCTCTTCTGGTTCGCTGCTGGGGAAGGGCACGCGTAGAGCAGGGGAAGGAAGAGTTGAGGGGAAGTAGGTGAGGCATGGGGGAGAGTGGTGACGCAGTAGCGAAGGGAGTGCTTTCTGAAAGGTAGGTTAGCAAGCGAGGGCGGGGCTTACAGTCGTCGTGTTGGCTGAAGTAGAACTTTTTGAGCGCCTTGGCCTGCAGCTGCCGCAGCACGGGGCAGTAGGACGCGTTGAGGAACGCCAGCGACTCCACGCTCGTGATCTCCACCGCCACGTGCGCGGGCGGGTGCAGCGCGAACCACGCCTGCATGGCCGGCAGGTTCATGCTGTCCGTCACCACGTGCACCACGTGCCTGCCACGCGCGCGCATGGGGGAAGGAAGGACGCGGGGGCGCACGGGGAAGGATGGAGGCGAGGGGCGGACACGGGGGATGGGGATGAGGAGTGGGGGGAGCCAGGCGGACGGCACGCGTGCGAGGCGATGGTATCAAGGCCGTCAACAAAAAGAACCTTCAGTCTCTACACCTCTCCACCGTCCAACACGAATCTTTTCACCTCCTCGCCTGCCCTCCCTCGACCGCCCACGTGTGAGGTGCGCGTACCGGTCGGGGTTGTTGGAGTTGGCTTCGAGCGAGCGCAGCACGGTGGCGACGGCGAGCACGTTGTCGGAGAAGAGCGCGTAGTGCATCAGCACGGGGTCCGTGAACAGCGCGCGCTGCTTGCGCTCCCGCCGCCGCGACGCTGCGCGCAGGTCCTTGTTGCTGCCGTACTCCTGCCGGCCGCCACCGGGGAGGGCGTTTCCAGGGAGGGAAGAGAGAAGGAGATGAGGGTGAGTGAGCTGACTGATAGATGGGCTTACAAAATGCTATGCTACGCATCGGAACGCAGCAAGCGGCGAGCGAGAGAGCGCACGGGACAAGCCCATGAGCGCAAGCAGTGGGCTTACGACGGTGAGGCGGAGGTTGAAGCAGTGGAGCGACTTGGGCAGCGCCTTGGCCGCCGCCAGGTCGAGCTGGTTGCGCTCCGCCGTCAGCGCCGCCACCTTGGCCTTGCTGCGCTCCACCTCGCCGCGCAGCTTCTCGATCGTCGCCGCGTTGCCGCGCCACTCCTTGGCGCGCGCCGCCACCGCCTCCAGCAGCTTCACCAGCCCCGTCACCTTGTCGTCACCGCCCCACGCGCCGCTCTCCTCCCACCGCGTCGTCACTGCGCGGCTCTTCTCCACCGCCGCGCGCATGTGCTTCACCAGCTGCGCGTTCCCCCGCTCCTCCGCCAGCGGACGGATGCTCTCCAGCACCGCCGTCAGGTTGCGCAATCGCTCCACCAGATCCGCGCGCGAGGGGGAAGACGAGGGGGAGGAGGGCGAGGATGGAGCGGAGGGGGAGGCGGAAGAGCTGGCGCCGGGCGGGAGCGTGACATCCACCCCGCCCGCCGACCCACCCGCCGACCCATCCCGCTGCTCAGACGCGCTCGACTCGCCAGCCCCCACAGCTCCGCTGCTGCTGGCTCCGCTTTCCGCTTCCCCCACCGCTTCCGCCAACACCGCCTTCACCTCCTCTGCTTCTTGTTCTCCGCCCCTTTCCCCCTCACTCCGCCCCGCCCCGCCCTCTGCCCCCTCTTCTTCCCCCTTCATCGCCTCCACTGCCTCCAGAAAACTATTTCCGCCGCCCTCGCTTTCCCCGGTCCCGCTCGCCGCCCCTTGTTCTTCCCTCGCCGCCATTGCCGCCGACTCCTCCAGCTCCGATTGAAAGGCGGCGACCGCCGCGTCCGTGCCGGCCGCCGGCAATTCCATGATTTCGCGATTCTCGTAGCGAATCTCGATGGGCTCGCCCACGCCCACTAATGACGAATCAGCCGCGCCGCTTCCTGCACACAGGAGGAGGGCATCCGGGCAAATTAAAAAGGAGAGGATAAGAAAGCGAGGGGCGGAAGGAGAGAAGCGAGCGGTGCACGGTGAACAGGTGGGTCCAGAAGCGATTTGGAGGAGAACGGCGGCGCGATGGCCAAAGGCGGCGAGATGGGCAAAGGCGCGGGGCGAGATGGGTAGCGGCATTAGCGCAAGGCCAGAGAGCAGAAGGGTGAAGACGTTAGGCGATGACGATGTGCGCAAGAACGAGCGGCGTGGAATGGACGAGGTCGCGAGCATGATCACATGGGGCTCGCAAGTGAAGGGAGATGGGCAGGGCGAGGCAAGCGCGGGGATGGGCGGCGTGCCTTGTCCTGTGTGGGTGCGCAGGGCGCGTCGACTGTGCGGCGAAGCCCAGATGAACGCCGTGACGACGAGCGCGAGACACGCGGCCGGCAGTATGAGGCGCGCCACGCCCGTGTCGCGACTGGACGACTGCTTGCCGCGACGACTGCGCGGAGGGAATTGGGCAGGAGGATAGCCAGGGAAGTGCGGCGGCGGGGGAGGGAAAGCCACGAGGTGAGTAAGTGGAGGGGTGCGGTTGGGATAGGGCGCGTTGATAAACGGCACTGCGACGAGGCGAGTGAGTGCAGCGCGGGACAGCGACGGCTGGGAAAGAGGAAGCATGCGCTGGTGCGGGAGGATTTGGCGGTCGTGCGGAGCCAAGGCGCCAACCAGCATGCACACAGGTGCCTATAGCTTGCTGGTTCTGGTGGTGCTTGCTGGTGCACCACGTGCGAGCACTCGACACATGAGGTATCTGGAGAGTGCTTCCAAGCAGGGTGCCGACCACCTAGACAGTGCCCGCAACAACCCGTCCTAAGCGATCGCACGACAGAAGCTGAGGGCGGCTTGCGTTAACGTACCTGAATGGAATGGCTAAGTCGGGTGACTTGCCTACGGCTTGGAAGCCGAACGGCATGGCTGCTGATTGGCTCCTATGCTCTCTAATTTTTTAAAGAAAATTACTTCTAGCTAGGCTAGGTTTCGTGGCAGAGTGGTTCCTAATGAGGCCCGAGAGAAGGCAGAGGTGATGGTTGTCAAACTATACTGTCGGCCGCCAACAATGTCTACGAGCCCCACAAACTCAAGATGTTGCTTGGAGTCACTCTCATGCGGCCGCTATGTCGGTTGAAAAGAACCTTAGAGCCACTCGAGCATGATGCGCCAAGGGAAGGAGGAAAGAAGCATCTGAGAGCAGAACCCGAGACATCTATTGCCATGTTCGGTCATGCCAATCCAGGGACTGGAAGTCATGGCAGCAGCGGGAAAGGTGAAATGTGGTGGTGGGGAGCGGCAGATGTCCATCCCTCCAGGCCAGTCGAGCTTGCCGCCGCGCCGCAGAAGAATTCGCGCTCGGACGACGCGGGGGGCAAGGCAACGTGTGGTGGGCGTCAGGAGCGTTTGCCAAGATTGCGCAAGCTGGGAGGGCTGCGACTGCTGGTGACTGCGCTACCATCGCTGCATCATGGATGGTTCCTGTTGTCGACTGGGTTGCCCCTTGTTGGCCATGGTGGTGGGCCGTAGAAAACATATGCACATAATTCAAACCATCCAATGCGAACAATTTTCAAGCACTGACAAAACAAAGAATGAAACTGAGAAACCGCTAAGCGGAAAATACATTTTAGGTTCGGTCACATATACCCAGCACCATTCTTACCTCACATGCCCGAAAATCTCTCAACATCGCTGACCGTTGCTACAAATTCGCGCCTTGTCAGGGCCCAGGGAAGCGCAGCGCGCAGCGGGCGAAGCCCGCGCACCAGAGAAAAATTGTCATACGAATCGCTCTAATGAGCTGCTCGTTTCAGAACAGCAACGTGTGGCAAAGGAAAGCATGCACGCTAAAAATAGCTAAAGCTATATTGTCGGAATATTTTTGTCATTGCACAGTATGCCGTAACCCTAAATTTTGATATCACATATTTTGTTTTCCATTTAAATTTTCTGAATGTAGCACACAATTTTTCATCCAAACATTTTGTTACATGATTCTCATGATCCCCTTTTGGACAATAACTGCACTTCACGTATCATTGAACTAATTTGTTACAAAAAGCTACATCAGAACTGCATTTTCCGATCACATATTCTCCTGTCCCGGACGCTTCGCAACACCGTTGGATGAAACCGGTTATCGAACGGTGGATTGCTGGCGTCCGTATTCTCGAGAACCCCCCCATCTCCCATTCCACCCACTGCACAAATTGCACAGGCCCTCCGCATTCTTTGTTTTGCCTACCTCCTCACTGCTCGCTGCTCAAAGCGATTTGTTCCGCTTCTGCTTCTTGTCAAGCCACTCAAGCACCGGGATTACCACTCGTATCGTTGACCCATCCGACGTCAGATTACCAGCATGGTGTGTGCTCTCGTCACTTCGTCTCGGAAAGGGCTACTTGTTTTTTTATGGGCTCGACGGTGGAACCAACACCTTTTCCGTATCTGTTCTTCCTGTCTGGTTGTCGGGTGTCCGGCCCCTCCATTAAGTGGTCCAACAACATAGCAAATGGTTAAATGAATCGTTATTCGGCTACTCTCCCCATGTTCTTATTCTTTATCCATTCCAGTCTGGGAAGGGGGCCAAAGGACTTATGGGCAAGGGGCCAGAGGGCCTGGACAAGCTAAGAGACAAAAAGAAGCCAATTTCACGTTCTTCTAAAGCGGGCTTGCAGGTCAGTTTCCAGCTAAGCTTGACCTCGACAATATAAACCGTAATCTGATCGCTATGCATAGAGTTCGCGGGGTGCTGCAAGCGAAATCTCACCTGACTGTTGGTTTGAGCAGTTCCCCGTGGGACGCATCCATCGCCTGCTTAAAATGAGAGTGGCCGCTAACGGCCGAGTCGGTGCCACTACAGCAGTGTACGGCGCTGCAATCCTCGAGTATCTCACGGCGGAAGTTCTAGAGCTAGCGGGGAACGCGTCCAAGGACTTGAAGGTAACCGTCGAGTTTCTCATGCTGTTTCGCGACAGCGTCGTTGCGATGCCGCGCGCTCATTGTCTTGACTTTTGCCTCTTGCTACGTGTGGTGCACAACAGGTGAAACGTATTACACCGCGTCATCTTCAGCTGGCGATCAGAGGCGACGAGGAGTTGGATACATTGATCAAGGTGAAACAACACTTCCTAGTTTTGACCCCCTAGAAGCAGTAGTTGCTGGAAGATGGACTTCCATTGCGGCTTTGTTCTGATGCTGTCAGTGGTGGACCGTTTCATGCCTTGGTGTTCGTTCTTCTTGCAGGGTACGATTGCTGGTGGCGGTGTCATCCCACATATTCATAAGTCGCTGATCAACAAGCAAGGAGGAAAGAAAGACTGAAAGGAGGTCTTCTTCCTTGTCCAGAATGATTGGTTGTTAATTTGGCCTGCATACCACACCGCCTCCTTTTGTACACGCATGAAATTAGTGCTTGCTCAGCACACCCTAGCTAAATAGCGTACAGTAGTTACCCACACTAACCTGTTTTTGTTGTAGTACTATTCCTATTCATAACCATTGAAACCCGCTGTCTGGGCAGAAGACCACTGGCTAACAAACCATGGCTAATCTAAACACAGTGGCTCATGCTTGTGGCCCAGAGCAGGGTGGGCTTTTGGTTTGGCTCAGTGCTGAGTGCTGATGTTGTGAGGTAGGACGTGGTCCAGATGCTTTCCTTGCTGGTAAAGCGCATGAGATGAGAATATACAACAGATTACAGCACCAGCCACATGACAAGCAAATGCCCAAGACATGCTACATGAGTGGCAGGGCGCGTGGTCTGACCACAATGTCAGCAGCGCTGAGCCCTTCTCGCTCCAGCAACTGCTCCATCACCCTCCTCCGCCTCCTCTGGTTCTCCCGGTTGTAGCGCCGCCCATAGTGGTCCCCTGCCCACCGCCGTGCTACAGCCTGCCAGATCATGTCCTCCGCCCCTCCGGGCTTGGGTGGCGTGGAGTAGACAAAGTGGTGTGCCACCTGCCAGGGTGTATGATGGGGGTGAGGGGGGGGGAATATGGCAGCAGCATTTTGGAAGGCTGAAAGCTGAGGGTGAAGGGTGAAGGCAGATAATGTGCTGGAAGGGAGATGGTTTGCAGCAGAGCTCAGAGACAGCCCCACCATGTCCCCACGCACCTCTCTGAGCCGCTGCCACATGGCGAATGCTGATTCATGCGTCACGTTTCGCAGGAAGGCCTCAACGTATCCGGGGCGGAGGGCGAGGGCCTGTGGGAGGAAGAGGGCGAAGGCGGTGTAGTCGAGGGCCTCCTCGAATGGCAGGTCGAGCGAGTCGGACACGACCACAGGGATGCAGTGCGATAGAATGGCGTCAAACAGCCGACATGACGATGCCGTGTCGCCTGGCAGGGGGGGAAGGGGGGTAAAGGGAGAGGGAGGGAGGATGAGGGCGAGGGGAGGGCAAAGGGGAGTGCTAGAGTGCGGAAGGTGGGGTAGAGGAGGGAAGCACGGTCAGCTGCACTGCAATCATATTGCAGGTTTGCATGGTATTTGAGAGGAAGAGCATGGTAGTGAGCAACATAAGCAGAAGAAGGTAAGGGAGAGCAGTGGCAGAAAAGGATGAGGGTGAGCGGCGCCACCTTCAGGCACGAGGCAGAACTTGGAGGCGCGCATGCCTGCTGTGGCCGCCTGCACTCCGCCCTGCAGCGGCGACCCCTCCGCTATGTCCGCCCCACTCACGTTCGCCAGCAGCCGCGCCAGCTGCACCCGCATGGCCCCTCCCTGGTGCACCGCAGCAGTGGGGGAGAGGCAGAGGGGCGAGCGAGAGGGGGCCGGTTTGAAGGGGCGACGCAGTTGGAGGCGGGCAGGGTGGATGAGTGGCTCAAGGGAGGGAATAGACGGCACTGGTTCAGGCTGGCTAATCCGGCTTGATTGCATTCCTCTCTAGAGCCTCCATGCGCACCTGTTGCCGGTTGAGCGTGCCTCGGAAGAAGATCAGAGTGGGCCGTGCGCCCGCCCACGCCGCCACTGCCTCCGCCCCTCCCACTCTGCCCTGCCCGCCCTGCGCCTCCCCCGGCAGCGAGTCATTGAGGAAGGGCGGGATGAGCGCGGAGTAGGGCACGAGCACGTCCTTCTCTAAATGCGCCACCTGCTCTGCCGGCTGACTGAAATCCACCATCAGCATGTGCGCTGCTGCCATCTCGTGCCGCACCGTCGACAGCGCGTGGGGGTGCACTGCAGGGATCAGGAAGTCCCGCCGCCGAGACACAAGGGACCCCGTGCCTCCCTCGCTCTGCAAACTCGCTGCTGCATCGCCCCTCTCTGCCCCTCCAGCCCCAACATCGGGTCGCTGCTGGCCCTCCACATGTGCGTCCTTCGCCTGCTCGCCCGCCTCCGCTTCTTTCCCCTTCCGTCCTCCTTTCAGCACCCGCAGCAGTCGTCGTCTGCTGCTTCCGCCCGCCTCCCCTGCACCACCACCACCACCACCAGGTGAGCCCTCCCCAGTCGCCACCTTCACCTTCTCCAGCAGCTCGCCCTCCCCCTGCCGCCCCTCAACCCCGTGGCTGGCCGCTCCCCCCTGCTCGCCCGTGCCCGTCCACAGGGCGTGCTGTGTGACCGCTGACAGCACGTGCCGTTCCTCCGGTACCCTCGCGTCCCCCGCCCGCCTCCGCTTCTCATTGCTGCCTTGCAGGGGGAAGGGGACGGGAGGGCAGCAGGTAGAAGGAGGGAGGTGGGAGCGGGAGGGAGACACGGGCAACGCAGCACAAAGCAAGCAAGCCAGGACACATTCACCCCATGGACCTTGTGCCACGTGGCAGCCTGCGACAGGTACAATCGACCGAGCGCGAGGCAGGCAGTGACTCACATCTTCATCACGCTTTCAACAAATGGAGCTCGTGCCACATGGCAGGTCGTCACAGGTGCATTCTACCGAACACGGGACGGGTGGGCAGGGACTCACATCTTCATCTGCGTGGCATAGAAGGCGGAGGAGAAGGCGGGCACGAACACAATGTGGGCGTCCTCAGCCCGCCGCACGCGCTGCAGGGAGGGCAGCTGGTCGGAGAGCAGGGAGAGCGTGAGCCAGTACTCCGCTGCGTACTGCTCGATGTGCACGCCATGCCCCTCCACAAACTGTGGCACCTGCACACTCTCCCCTCCGCCCCCTCCTCCGCCTCCCCGTCCGCCTTCCCCCTCGCCCTCCACCCACCCATCGTCCTGCGCCACTCCCCCCACCACGTTCCCATCGACCCGAGGCCTTAGCGAGTTGCCTTTGAACCGCCAGTCCGCCGGCATGCCGTGCCGCAGCTGCACCTGCAGGCGGTTCGCAAAGCGCCACCGGAACTGGTGGGGGGGCGTGCGGTGAGGAGGGGGATGGAAGGCAGAGGGGGAAAGGTGGGGGGAGGGTGGCGCGGAGGAAGGAGAGGAGGATGTGAGGACGGCATGCGCTGACAATGGCACATGGCACGGGCCGCATGGGGGCTGCTGACGAGGAGAGACGGAAGGCTGTGTACCGTGCGGTACCATGGGGTGGCATGCAATGCTGTGGGGTACCATGCGGTCATACCAGCAGCACGTGGAAGTTGAGTTCGCCTGTGAGTGGCAGCATGTACACCCGCAGAGGCATCGGCACCTCCCCTCCCCCTTCTCCCTCCCCTCCTTCCCCTTTTCCCTCCGCCTCTCGCCCATCTGTTCCTCTCTCCGCCCCCACTTCCCTCTCTTGCGCCTCCCCTGTTCCCATCCCCGATGCCTCATCTCCCTTGAAAGCAGCTTCGCTACTCGCTACAGCGGTAACAGCGTCCGCCATGGGCACTGCCTTCTCCCGAATCATGCCCGCTTGCTCTCCGCCCATGCGCATTGCGCTCTCCGCAATCCCCCCATTGTCCCCAAATTGCAACGAATCCGCGCGCTCAAGCTGCGGATCCCTGCCCCACCCTCGCACACGACCCCCGCTTCCTGCCTCTGCGACGGCGACAGCGTCGCCAGCAGTCGCACGGACGGCACCGTGCGACGCGGCCCAGGGGACGAGGAGGAAGAGGAGCAGCGCGAGGAGGCTGACGAAGACCATCAGCGCGTACACGCGCGCCACGTGGCACTTGCAGCACAATCCGCTCTTCCCCGCCGCGACGAACGGAGACGGCGGCCTCGCCGTAAGTCGCGGCGTCGCCATAATCGAGGCTCGAACGGTATGCTGAGTGGTGGGTGCGGTGAGGGAAGTGAGCGCTGTGCAGATATAAATCGGGGGCGTCAACTCAAGCTACACTAAATCCCCGTGATCATCGTCCGTGGTCATTCTATTGCAAGTACACGAAGAGTTCTACGTAGCTTCGCTCGCTACCCCGAACCTGGCAGCATGAATTTCCAGGAGTGGCGCCAGGGGAATGCAGCGATGACGAAGCAGCTACTTCAGTATTGCGGCGCGTCGATACTTGTGCTAGGTGTGGAGGCGCGCATATCAAAACCTTCGTTTTTCATCTCTAGTTTTGATGAGGCGGCGAAAGTTGTTGGCAACCTCGTTATGAAGGTGCGCAATTTGTTATTATTATCGTACATTCATGTACAATTCTTTATGTTCTTTATGTACAGACATACGTTACGGAACAACCGATAAGGTACTCCTCAACATTGGCGGATTATCTTATTCGGAAGGCTGCTGCTTTGCGAGTCGCGACTCATGCGAGCAAGCAAGCAGCCCTCACGCGTGCTTCCTCGGGCTACTTAAAGCATTCAGAATGTTTTGCCTCCATCCTCTTTCACCGGACCGCCACTTCGCGCTCGACTGCCCGCCCTCTGTTGGCGTGCCGTTTGAAAGAGTCCGCCCTCCCTCGGGCCGACTTCGCGACGTGCGCCCATCCGCGCGCTTTGCGCCGCTGCTCCGCCTCCCGTCGCTGCTGTCAGCGGAAGCGGCAGGCGAAAAGTCGACGTTTCTGCAGCCGTCGATAGGGCTGCATTCCGACGGGGTGGCGGAGTCACCGTGACTAAGGAGCATTGGGTCGCCGGGGGGCGACGGAGTGGAGGGGGCAGCGCGGCAGGGAGCGGAAACGGGCGAGGGCGAGGGGAGGCAGGAGGGGAGGAATGGGGGGATGACGAGCAAAGACGGGGTGCGCCTGTGCTGCGACGATGACGAAGCCGACGTCGCCAATTGTTCCCTCGCTCCTGCGACGGAACGGTTTGAGTCTGCGCTGTTATCACCATGCATCGCAGACGCGCGCCGCGGTAGGGTCGGCGAAACCTTTTGCGACGAGCACGAACACGGAAGAGAATTGTGTCGCAGCAGCTGGTAGCGCGCACAGCCCTCCCGGCCCGCGACAGCCCCTGCATCTGCCGCGCGCTGCGCCGTGTCGTCGCGCATTCCCATCTCGTCGCGAATCGCGACGTGCGGGCGCCGCTCTTCGTCCCCAGAGGCTTCCGCCAGCCCCTCCTCCAGCCACCGCGGCTCGTACACGCTCCGCCACATGCCCCGGCTGTCCGCGCACCGCGACCGCCCGCCCCTCGCGCCCTTCTCGTCGCCGCGCCCCTTCGACTCTGGGAACGATTTCGCTCGCTTTGCCTGGGTTACGGTAACAGCCGTAATCGCGTTCAGGTCGTCGCAGCTCCCGCGCCGCGGCATTAATTGCCGGCCGAACGACCTCATCTTCTCGCGCCACGCCCTACGCCTCGCGCCGATCGCCCCCGCAGCGCCTGCCATGGGGCTTGACAGAGAAAACGGCGCGCTGTGCGGCACTCGCTCCAACGGCTCTTCCTCCTCCTCGTCCGCCGCCGCCGCGTTCTCCCACAGCATTCCCCATTCCGCTGCGTCGAGATTCCGAAGCCTCGCGACGACTGCCGCCTTGCACTCGCTTATCCGTATCACCTCCGCCGAGGCCATCTGTAGAGACGAGAGGCTTCGCTAGGTCCTAGGCTGATCAGAAGCAGGGAATGGGGATTTCAAAGTGGCAAGAGCTCGAGTTTCTCATCTGCCATAGCTGGATAAGTTCGTCAGTTTCCCCAATTTCAACGCACAAAGTCCTATCCGCGCAAAGAAATTGCTTGACTAGCAACCGACACTTGCATGCGCCTGGCTGTATGTGTGTTTGGCTGTGCTGTGCTGTTCGAAAGTCATGCTCGGCGCGGTGGGCGCTGGGTAGAACCTGGAAGGTGCAATGCAACGAAAGGCCAAGGAACAACTTCAGCTGCAATCCAATTTAGCCAGCGCGGTTCGCAAATGCGATCCCCAGTGGAAGAATCTGAGGGGTCGATATTTGCCCGCGGTCAGAAAAAAATAAACCCCATCTGGATGGCATGCGATTAGGGGAGCCCCAACCCTAAATACGGGCAGCCGCATGGTTCTGCCCGAAAAGATCGCATTTGCAAACACGCACTGCGAAGATTGGATCGCAGTTCGAATTGACCGAAAGGGCAATGGCGCACCACGCGCGACAAGCGACACGCACTCCCTGTAACTTCCGTCTGCCGAATCTCATTCGCCAGCGTCTCACGTGGCTGTGGCAGTCAGCAAAGTGAGCCACTTGTCCGTTTGGCAGTCGGTGGCAAGTCGGCAAGTGCACGACAAGCGATGCCCGAGCTGGCACCCGCTGACATGTAACCGCAGCTTCTTCTCGAAGCCTGTCAGTGGCAGGCACTGTACGGTTTGTCCGCGGTATCGCGGCAAACGAGGGGCTCACGTGATGCCAGTTTTTATACACCTGGTTCATCTACATCATACACCACAACCTTGTATTTTCATTTCGACAGCATTGAGAAACACAGAATCTACAAAACAGAAACCATCACAGCATGGCTCCTAGGTACACCTGCACAATGTCATCACTCGCCTCCTGCTCCACCCTAACCTGCGCCGAGGGTGATCGCATGATCTCCACTTGCCGCTTGCGTAGGGAGAAGATAGCCCAGCCGTAACACACGACGCCTACGAGCTCCAGCAGGCAGCCGAGCAGGCTGATGGGCGCCATGGGCGTGCGGAAGAGCAGCCAGGAGAAGACGAGCGTGATCACCAGCTTTAGGTTGCCCGCCACATTGAACGTCAGCGCACTGCCACGGGGGGCGTGGGCAAGGGTGCGGGGGGGGAAGAGGGGGATGAGAGCGGGGGAGAATCAGTTCATGCGATTGTGGGGTGGGGAACATGTGGTGTGATTGGGGTTGGTGGGGGGGATGACAGACAAGTGGCTTGAGTGGCTCACACGAGGGAATCATGAGTATTTGTCCACACAAGGTGCCGAGGCTTGCAGGCTGTGGTGACATGCGAAGCAGCAATGGCGCTGCTGGAAGGGCCGACTTACCTGGTCTTTTGAATCGTGTAAAAGAGGGAAAAGTTGAGGCAGAAGGCGAAGCAGCCACTAATGAGGATGGCGATGACAGCGGGCCAGGGGTTGGCCTGAGCCACGAACCACCCCCACAGCTGCCACCCCTCCAGCACCGCTGCTGGCGGCGCGAGGATGAGCGCTGAGTAGGGCACCAGCTGATACAGCTGATGAGGGCGCACACATGGGGTGGAAAGGGGGGAAGGGAGGAGGAAGCAAATAGGGGAGTAAGGAAGGTGAAGGACGAAGAAAGGAGGAACATAGGGGAAATTGGATTCAGCAACCTCAAAAGGGCACTTGAGGAGATCGGGGGAGGGGGCTCACGGCGTTGATGGAGTCGAGGCTGTAGTGTTTGCCCTTGAGCAGCACCTCGGCACAGATGACGGTGGCACAGCCCAGCACCACACAGCACAGCGCCGACAGGAACGTGGGCAGTGCGAAGTGCACGGAGGGCGCGTAGGCCAGCATGGCGCCCGCCATCACCGGCAGCAGTGAGAGGCACAGCCGCCAGTCGTAGTCCGCCTGTAGCGCCAACGCCTGGATCACCACTGGGACATGGGGGGTAGAGGGGAGGGGGGGGTTGTGTGCGAGAGAGGGGGAGGAGATGAGAGGGAGGTCAGCGGGTGGCGGGTGGGCGAGGGAAAGGGAGGTGAGGTGTGGAAGGGCAGACAGGGCATAACAGACGTGTGAAGATGAGAGAGCTTGGCATGGAGCGATGCGCACAAGACAACGCACCTGTGAGGCCGGGCGAGAGGGCCTTGGTGGAGAGGAGGGCGGGCAGCGGCACGTAGCGCAGGGAGAGCTGGCCGAGCACGACGTTGAAGCACGTGACGACCGCCATGGGCATCACCCACGCCACCATCTCCCCCGCCTCCACCGCCGCCTTGGGACACACGTGCAGGATCTGAGGAGCGTGAGGCGCACGCAGGATGGTTGGGATGGGCGCAGGGGCGCATGGGCGTCAGCGCATGCGGCGAGACGCTGTGCGCGGCGAGAGACGTGCACATGTGCAGGGTCTAAGGAGAGTGCAGTGGGTCAACTGGAAGGTTGAGTGAGAGGAGGGGGCGCAGAATGCACTAACTGACCTCGATGGCTGTGAAGGCGCCAACGAATGAGAGCGCGAAGTGGATGGCGGTGAGCGTGAGCGGGAAGGTGAAGCCGTACCGCTGCATGGGGGGGAGTGGACAGGGAGGGGGTGGGGTACGGGGGGCAGAGGGGCAGCTTGGAATGAGGGGAGGTAGACTGAGTGGGTGACCTGACAGCCATGCGAACAAGAACCATGGAACCAAGTGATATGAGGTTCATTCGCCGCACTGTGCTGGCGAGTGATGTGAGCGAGCGGGTGCACCTGGAAGATCTCGTTGTTGACGAGGATCATGATGATGTTGAACGTGCACCACTGCGCCACTGACGCCACCTGCACTGCTCAGAGCGAGCGGGCCAAGGGGGGAGAGGGGGAGAGGGGAAGAGGGAGAGAGAGGGGGAGAGAGGGGGAGAGAATGGGAGACCCCGAGTGAGGAGCAAGGCCCCTTGCCCACCTTGCAGCACAGACTGCGCCAGCCCATTCCCTCGTCACTCCCATGAGTGGAGAGGAGTACAATATGCGGTCTTAACTGGGCAAAGTTAGGAGGGCGATGCGAGGAGGGCACGTGACCTGCCAGAAGAACTTGGGCGAGCAGATGGCGCGGCACGGCTCCACTAAACAGCACGCCGCTCCGCTCGGATCCAACGCGCCGCACCTCCACCCGCTGCCGCCCCCGCTGCTGCTCCGCGCGTGCCGAGGCGACGGGCGGGACCTGCGCGGCTGCGACCACGATGACACGGCCCGCGAGTCATCGCCTCGTCCTGCGCTGGACGCGTGAGGGGTTCGGATCAATCACATGCGCGGTTTGACACCCCACGCCACACCATTCATAAGTAGGGACGCATGCAAAGCTTTCACTCGCGTCTCTTCCATCCAAACCGCACCAAACCGCATTTCTCCCATTCTAACCCTAAAGCTGATAAATAGCGCGATTTGGATCGCGGAAAGTCTTCATTAGATTCGCGCAGAGGCGGCGGAATCACTCACTGCGGCGGCGAACACGCGGCGAGGAAAGCCTGCGACTCGCTTCCTTCCCCGTCGGTCAAGCTGCAGTCGCCGGGCTCCAACCGGCCATTCTCCAACCGGCCATTCTCCAACCGGTCGTTTTCCAAACGGTCAGGCTCCAAACCGTCGAAGACGTGGAATCTCGCGGTCGCGTTCGGCGCAGAGGCGGGCGTGGAAGCGCGGCCTCTGAGCTCGGGAGCGGAGTGGTAGTCCTCGCCCGGCGAGCACGGCGCCGCGACACTCAAGTCCTCCAGGCTTCCTCGCGACCGTTCCATCAACGCGAGTTTCCTTCGCGGCCTAAAGTACGAGGTCCTAACGCTGGAGTGGGCAGGGTTAGTTATGCAGAGAGCATGGTCGAAATCGTGGTGGGGGAACAACTGGCGTTGCACACAAACCTTCAGGCTAGGCACCTGAAAAGAGAAACCGTCTTGAGTTATCCGCCATTGCTATGTTAAAATCACAAGATGGATCATGGCTCTGACACAGCTGCTGCTGCTTAGTTCTCTCGAAGCATAATGAGGACGCGTCTCCTGAACGACGATCGTGCAAAAACCGATCTTTTACCGCACTGGGAACCTGCGTATTGCATTCAGAAGTTCTAGACGTTTTTTGAACCACGAAAAAATTCGATCCTGCGTAGGATCGATCGCAGGATCGGCGTTCAGGAGACGCGTCCTGAGTGACCTGACCAGTCTATCAGGAAATATATGGATCTGCTTCAGCTCTTCGTTTCCAACCCTTGAACTCGCTGGCAATGACAATGGATGCGAGCAGAGCGGAGCACAAAAATAGAAAGACCACATAGAGTCGAGGAGGGGGATGACGACAATCAACGAACCGAAAGCTGTGAGATCATATACGACGAATGGCGGTCAACCGTTCGATTGTGGGAGCACGGGGTGGTTTGCGACCTGACAAACTATGCGACAAAGTTCGGCTTAGCGACGCCCCTGACGACTTCCACACGATATTCGTTCTGATCGCTTTTGTGACGAGGCACCTCGGTTGTAAGTATTGTTACAAAAGAATAGCAATGATGTTACCTAACATGTTTCTCACATATAAAAAAAAACATGCTACCACCAAGGACGGCTAGCAACACATAGGGCAAAGCCGCTGGATAATAAATATTCACCCCTATTGGGCCAATTCATCGCTTGCTGCAGCGAGTGCTACTTGCTGCATGTGCTGTCTGAAATTGAACCTTACCACGCGAGGGCTCACTGCGGTGACAGGCACCCGAGGGCTCACGGCAGTGACAGGCACCCTCCCTCCTGATGAGGTTGGTCTTTCCCTTGGCGAAACACGGCCCCAACTTGCTTCATCCAAGCTCTCCACCCGATGAGGAGCCTGGTTCGCCCCCTTCTCTCCCCTCTCCAACGCCATGCGAGACCCCCCCTCACAGTCCCAAGACGCTGACAGGTGGTGATGCCCCCCCACACAAGCCCCGTCCCTGCCTTCACGCCCCCTTGTGCCCGCCTCCCTCTCCGCTGTCTTGCTCCGCGCCAGCACCTGCCCCCCTAGCGCCTCCGCCCACGCCAGCTCATCGCTGAGCCTCGACCGATGGCGCCTGCCTGCCACATCCACTCGAAGCCCTTCCCCCGCCCTTCCGCCCGCGCGCGCCCCCCTTCCCGCCCTCAACCTACCGCTTCTGCTTCCCACTCCGTCGCTGCTGGGGGGGCGGGGCACGACCGGGGACGGTAACGGTAGCGCGAGGGGCGCGTCAATGGGCGGAGGGGGAGGCGCAACAATGGCTAGCGCGGCGCTCGACCACTCCGACGCGGAGACGAGAAGCGGCTCGTCGGCGAGCTGCGGCTCGAGATCGCCCGAGGCGGCGGCTACCGATTCGCGCAGCACGGCAGGGGCCACTGGTGAGGCCTTGCGCCGTGAAAAAATGGGATCGCGCGCGTCGAAGTGACGGAGGGAAGCGGCGCTCTTGCACGGGGCTGTCTGCGGGCGCACGGGGCGAGGCAGTGCGGATATAATTCTGTCAGGGTGTCTGTTTAATTTGGGCGGCGATGCTGCGTGCTCATTCACAGAACAAGGTTGGTCTACGCCTGCTAGTACACCCGTCGCACTCGTCGCGTGCAGGGAAAAAGAAATCGAGTCGGCGCCCCCTGCACGCCCGTCTGGAGAATCGCCGTCCGCACGGCCCTCTGGATCCGCACCGCCGAATTCTACACCCTCTCGCGGCTCTTCCGCGCTCGCCGAATCCCGTCCAAACATTTCGCCGTAAGAATCGACCACCACGTGTTGAAACGAGACGCTTCGTCGGCCGAGATCGTCGACGCGCTCTCCGCCATCGTCCACACCGCCCTCGGCGCTCTCCACGCGGCAGCTGCCGCCCCGCTGACTCAAATCCTGTCCGCTGCGCTCCTGACGGCGAGCGCTCGAGAGGAGCGACGGCAGCAGGCGCTTGGTCTTTCTGTCCGCGATAGAAGCCGATCTGTCGGATTTATCCGCAAACAGCATCCGCTGCACCTTGCGCGCTGTCGACCCCATCACGCTCCACTTCTTCCCTGTCGCAGCCCCTTCGTTTGTCGTCGTCGCAGCGGTGTTCGCGACAGAGCTGTGCGCCTCTGCGACGACTTCATCCATATCGGCGGCGCGCTGCCAAAGATCGCCCGACCCCATGATGGACGAAGCGCGCTGCAACGGCCGCAACACATACGTGTCAAGCGACGCCGTAAAATGCGGTGAGGCCTCGGTTTCTGCCATGCCTAATTGGTCAACTCTACTCGAAAACTGTGAAAACTGACGATCTCAGTATGGATGGGGTGAAAATGGTGCCAACCAAAAACCTGCAATTCCACCACAATGCAGACATGTGAGGGAGGGAAGCACACAGTCGAGCACTGTTTGCAGAGAATCCGGTCAGAGAATCGACATGCGAGAGGAATGAGAGAAAGCGGGATGTTTTTCTGGACTGCTCTGCATTTCCATTTCATACCAGACCAGATGCACACACCACATGTCAACTAAAAAAGTCTGCGAGTTCACGCGGTTTGAAGCAAATTGCTTGAGCGACCCTCGGTATTCACGAGGTCTGGAGGAAGCTCAGGGAATTACGAAAAGGAGTCACCCAACCCAATTCCAGATGACGCTACCACCCTTTGGGTATCGAGAGTTGCCCAACCGCATGAGTAACTTGTGGGATTTGTGGCTCGAAACCCCATTCTTTCAGCTCGTGATATTGTGCAATGGTGGACAGAATTCAGGAAAGTGCACACAATAAAAACTTTGCGGGTGAGTGCACCCTGCAACACCTGAACAGTCAGCCTTTGCCCCTGGTGTGATGAGTGGCGCGTAGCGGAGTAACGAGGGCACGCGCGCCGCAAACCATTTCCATTCGCTCAGCAAAAACGGCACATCGTGTCGTTCGTTGGTCCATTGACAAACACACAGCTGCGCAACAGCTGTCGATTGGGTCGCATTCCCCCACTGGACCAGAAGGCTATCCTTGCCAATCCGTGCTATGGTTCTACTCTTTACGCTACATGCGTTACACTAGATAAGAGAAGCTTATAACATCAACCACATGTTTCTAACTCTTTTCTAATAGCCACCAGCAGGCTCCAGCAAAGCCAAGGCCTTTCTAATAAAATCAACAGCGGTTGGAACGTCATTACCCGCAAGCGCACTCACGGCATATCGAGCCGCCTTGTGCGCATCAGCTATCTCGCGAGGCCCTGGGCCTTGAGAGTTTGAGAAGCTGCCCGTCGCCGTAGACCCATTTGCTGCTGATGCAACATTCTGCCCTGCTCTTGCTCCTCCGCCTGACGCCACACCCCCACCACCTCCACCGTACCCCGAATGTGGAGACGCCTGCGATGGGAGTGCCCCAGAGGTACCCCCTGCTGCCCCCGCACCTGGGTTGGCAGCAGCAGCACCGCCTGGCATGAAGGAAAAAGCAGGGCCAGCAGCAGTTGCACCGGGCGCAGGGGCAGAACCAGGGGCGGCATTGGGGGCAGGCGGGGTGGCAAACATGGGATTTGTGAAGGCACCTGCGCCTACGGCTGCGGCTGCTGCTGCTGCCTGTGCGTGCTGGTAAGCCGGCGCTGCAGCAGGATGGGCCCATCTGTCTGCTCCCGGGGCTGACTGGGTTGAGGGAGCGGCAGTGGCCTGTGGCGCAGCAGAGGGGTACTGAGAGTCAGGAGTCCAATGGGTGAAAGTTGGTGGGGAGGCGAAGGAGGGGGCGGAGGGCAGGGAGGGAGCGGAGGCAGGAGGGGCGCCGGAAAAGGAGGTGATGAACGCACTGTCTTGCTGAAGTGTGCTCTGCTGCCATGCCTGTGCCGCCTGTGCTGCCTGCCCCTGGGGTGCTTGCGAGTAGTCCCCGTGGCCCTGGGAATATAGATTCGCTTGGGCATGAGGGTTGGGCTGCATGGCAGCGCTCCCACCTCCCACCGGCCTCGCCACCTGCAGCCTGCCAGCACCACCTGTGGCACTGGCGCCAGTGGGGGCAGCTGGGGCAGCATTGGCACCATAGGCGCTGGGCAGCAGCAGCAGCAGCAGCAGGAGGAGCAGGAGGAGCAGGGGCGGAGAACATGGCATCCAGGGAGTCAGCTGAGGGGAACGACGGCGCTGCTGGCGGGGCCATGGCCGGGGCTGATGCAGAAGCAGCAGCATCGGTGAGAGCAGGAGCATTGGCAGCAGCAGCATCAGCGTCGCCCCCTGGCGGGCCAGGAGTGGGGCGCCTGCCGTCCGCCAGCGCCCTGCGAATATCCGCCGCCTTCCACACCGCATAGCGCTGCTTCTGCTCCACCTGTGGGCGGAGGGGCGAGTGGGCGACGGGGCGAGCAGGACAGGGGGAGGTGGGAGGGAGAATGTTGGGTGAGGAAGGGGAGAGGCGAGGCACAGAGAAGTCATGGCAAGGAGGGAAGGAGGGAAGGAACGAGTGGGAAATTTCGCATGGAATGGGGGAGGAGAAGGTGTGCAAGGGATGCAAGCACTGAGGCTGGCTGAGTGAAGCGCTTACACAAGGAAACCCCCCTAGCAGCCCCCTCCCTCTCCTCCCTCCCCCCCTCCCCCTTTCCCCCCTTGCAAAAAGTGCAGAGAGGGTACCTCAGGAGCGAGCTCCCCAAACTGGCGGCACACTTCAAAGAATATCCCCGCCGCATAGAACGTCTTGGCCGTGCCCCTGCCACGCACATGGGGGGAAGGGACAAGGGGGGTGAGGGGAAGGAGGGGGGGAGGGGAAGGAGTGGAAGAGAAGAAGGTTTGGGATGAGCGGTTCTGTGCGTGTGATATGGTGAAGTGGCAAGGATAGCGTGTGGTGTGAGTGCGGTGGGCGGGTGGGAAGGCATGGTGAGCAGAGGTCATGGCGCCGTGCGCTGGGGTTGGCAACGCAGAGCAAGTCCAACACCACCTCCACCCCGCATGGCAGTGGGAGGGACCCATTCGTGCCGCCCTGAACGACGCCATCACCCCCACCGCACAAACCCCCCTCCCCCTCTCCCCCCCTCCCCAACCACCCCGTCTCTAACGAGCACTAGTGCCAACAATCCCTCCACGCCACGGCACGCCATGCGCTACAACGCACATGTCAGCGCGGCCGGCGCGGTCCTGCTTGTCCGCCTTGCTGAACACGCGCTGCGCGAAGCCCTCCACGTGCAGCCCGTCGTCTGGGGACAGCTGCAGCGCTGCCTTGTCCTGATGGGCGGAGGCACAGAGGGAGGGGCGCGAGGGGTTGGCAAGGTGCATTGGCGGTTGAAACAAGGGGGGACAGGAGGAAGGGAGGGAGGGAAGGGAGATGCTGTGCGAACTCGTTTACGTGCAGCCCGCCATTGGGAGACAGCTGCAGGGCCGTGCTTTCCCGCTGGGCGTCATGTCAATAACCCATCATGCCGCGTCATACAAGCGGCCCGTGCGGCCCATCTCGCGACAGTGCAGCATTAGAGCCACATCAGGCGATAATGAGTGCCGTAATGCGTACCTTTTCGTGGCGGGCGTACCTTTTCGAGGCGGCTCATGATGGAGACGAGCAGCGCGTTGACGGCCTGGCTGCGCTCCTTGCTGGGCACGCGCAGCCCCTTGTCCATGGCGTACAGCCGACCTGCCACGCACACGCACGCCCTCATATGATCAGGCTTTCTGATCGTTCTCTTTCGTTTGCTCGCTTTTGTTTGATGAACTCTCTATATAGGGTTACAACGCGCGTACAGTAGTAAGCGACGAGCGGGTCGTACAGTAGTAAGCGACGAGCGGGTCGTGCTTCTGAAGCTCATCGGCGCGCTGCAGGAACGGCACCAACGCCTTGCCGTTCGCCAACTCGTCGCCCGACAGCGACCCCGCCATGCCCGCTACTATGGCCAGCGACCAGGTGATACTTGAGATTCTAGTAAGCAGCGGATCAACGCGGGGTTTGCAGACCCAACTGAACGGTTCTGCCCGTGAAGACGCTGCTGTTACGTAGTTTCTTGGCGGGTGTGGAACCGCGAGTGAGTAAATTCTTTGATTTTCTCTGGCTGAATGGGTTTCTACGGTGATTCGTAACAGATTAGTGCAACGGAGCGAGCGAGAGGCATGGCCGAAGGGCACCGCGAGAGACGGAATAGCAGTCGGATGTGGTGCTCGGCAATTTCTAGGTTGTGCCTGGCTGAGTCTTGACATTCCGCGTTATACGGTTCGAACGCCCGCATTTGTGCTCAGCCAGATGCTTTAGGACGGAGGCAAACAGAGTAATTGACGGAACATGTATATAGACATTTTATTCCGTTAACATTTCTAAAACAGGACTAGGACAAATTTAAGGCATTCTATCACTAACTGTACATTCTGTATAAGAAAAGGACGACTGTCCCTGCCTTTCCAGTTATCAGTAACCCACCGCAACCCCCCATATGAATGATGTTGCGATTATTTAGAGCTACTTACCCTTTATAATAAAGCCCATTATACCAGCACTGCAAGGCTCACATATCCATTGCATAGAGTGCAAGTATTTGCAGCAGTTGAGCCTTCTTCCGAGCAATGGAGGTGCTTGAGGGAACTGGGAGTCAATCCGATGCAGGTTGAGCGAAGATAAGGCACGGTAGAGTGGACTGTGCAGTATACACACAGACCACTGCCCTTGCCCGAGTGGATTCTATTGCAGCCGTACGGACTTACAGTCCTGCCCAGGGAACCCATGGCATTTTATCACGCCCACGAGGGCAGGTCCATGGCATCTGCGCTGCTCCTGAAGCTCTCTGCCAGCCCTATCAGCTCCTCGTCCTCCTCACACTCCCCCTGCACCTCCCCTTCTCCCTCTCCCTCTAACTCCCCATCTCCCTCTCCATCATCCACTCCCTCCCCAAAGCCCTCCTCCCCTCCCTCTCCCGCACCTGCCATCTCCTCCCCCGCATCCCCCGACCCTCCTTGCTCCTCCTCTGCAGACGTCAGGTCCGGGCCGAAGCGAGGCGCAGGAAACAGGCTTGGCAGGGCGGAGGCAGGAGAGGGGGGGTGGGAGAGAGTGGAGGGGAAGGCAGAGGGGAAGGGTGGGGAGGTGAGGCGGTGCAGGGGAGGGCTGAGAGGGGTGCTGACAGCTGGTGTGGATGCATGCAGGGGCGGTGCGTGAGGGTCAGTCGCGACACCTCCAACCCTTCCAGCAGCAGCAGAGAGGGCCGTTGGAGAGACAGAATGACGGCAAGCAGCAGCAGCAGCCCCGTGTCCCTCACCTTCCCCTTCCTTGTATCCTGCCCCTGCCCCAGTCGTCCCACCTTTCTCTGCTCCTCCTCCTCCCCCTGTCCCTCCTCCTTCCCCTGACCCCCCTTCCCCCACACTTCCCTCTCCCACTGCCCCTCCGCCCGTCGCTGCTGTCCCACCTGCACCGCCCCCGGCAGCGGAGGCGTGCAGCTTGAGGTGTGCCTGGGCCTCCTGCTGCTGTGCCAGCTCCCTCACACGCGCCAGCACGGCGGGCGGGATGGACGCCGACACCGCCTTCTTGCGCTGCTCGCCCTGCCCCACACCAGGGAAGGGGGGAAAGGGAATGCGCAAGGACGAGGGGGAGGGGGGGAAGAGAGGGGAGAGCGAAGGGTCGGGAGAGAGAAAGGTGAGGTGTGGGAGGTGGGTGTGGAGGAGTAGAGGGGAGAAGACATGCTGCTTGAAGTGGCAATGCATGCACAATAGCAGGAAACGCTGGGACCCAAGGTGCATCATACCTCTTTGGGTGGCTGGAGTGCCATCTTGCTTGCACGTAGGAGATTGCGCCACTTGTCCTGCCGTGATTGGATCACAGACAAGTAAGAGAAGGGAGACATCGGTGAGGACGAGAAATGCAGACTAATATTCATCTTGCAACACGGTTTCCCCAAGTCAACGACAGTCAACACGGTACCTTGAGGTCAACGACAGTCAACACGGTACCTTGAGTTCAACGACAGTCAACACGGTACCTTGAGGTCAACGGCAGTCAACACAGTACCTTGAGTTCAACGGCAGTCAACACGGTACCTTGAGAAATGCAGGCCAAGATCCATCATACATACGGTCTTTCAAAGTCAACAGAAGTCAACACAATACCATGAGCCCAACGTCAGTCCCTCAAGGTCAACGGCAGTCAACACGGTACCTTGAGGTCAACGGCAGTCAACACGTTACCTTGAGTTCAACGGCAGTCAACACGGTACCTTGAGGTCAACGGCAGTCAACGCGTTACCTTGAGGTCAACGGCAGTGCGGTAGCCAATGGAAGCAAAAGCAAGCTTCTTGATGTCGGCCCACTTGCCCCCGCCGCACCGCGCCACGCCATCCACCAGGATCATCACCTCCCGCAGCGTCCACGGCCGGTGGTGCTTGCGCCTCAACCCCCCATTCGCCGTGTACATGCGCGCATCGCCTGCCCCCTCTCCCCCGCTGCCACCGCTGCTCACCCCTCCAAAGTCTGAAAACGCCGCCGCTGCTGCTGCTGGCGCTGCTGCTGCTGGCGCTGCTGCTCCCAAACCAGCTGCCTTCTTCCCCGCCCTGCCAGATGCTCCATGCCTACGCGCCCCCCCTCCCCCCTCCGCCCGCCCTGCTGCCCCTCCCCCCTTCTTCGAGCCCCCTCCACCACCACCACCGCCTGTGACAGCAGCAGCAGCTGCCACACTCCCCCTATCCATCCCATGTCGTTGCTGCTGCTGCTGGAGCTGCTGGAGGGAGGGAGGACTCAGGGGCATGCCAGAGGGGCTCATGGGAGCCCCTACCTCGTCCCCACTCTCCCCACTGCCCCCTCCTCCCCCCCACTCCCCGTCCCCCCTTGCCATCCCCACCAACCCCTCATCTCCCCCCCCTCTCGCCCCACCCCCCACACCCCCATTGTCCGCGAATCCCCCGCCTTGCTGCTTCCCCACAGCTCCACTTGTAACAGCCCGCGCGGCAAGACCACAGGAGAGGGCGGCGGGGTGGTCGGCAAGGGCGGCAGGGGGCAAGGGGGTGAGCGCCGGCACAGGGGAGAGGCCGACCATGCTGGAGAGCTCCATCCAGGACGCGTCCTGCAGCTTGGAGGTGGAAGGGGCCAGACCGTCCAGAGCTCCACCCCCCAGCAGGCTGACCCCTGGTGGCGTGCCGCCTCGCGGTGATGCTCCTGCCACCGCTGCTGATCCTGCCAATCCTGCTGCTGTTGCTGCTGCTGCTGCTGCCGCTGCTGGTGGTCCTGTGCCCTCCAGTGCTGCTGCTACTGCTGCCCCTTCCTCCCCCTGCGCCCCTTCTCCTCCTCCTGCGCCCCCAGGCGCACGTGACCACCTCGCCTCGCCCTTCCTGCCGCCACCCTTCCCTCTGCCCCCACCTCCCGCCACACCGCTCGCCCGCTGCTGCACCTGCTGCTGCTGCTGAGCCAACACCTGCCTTGGGGGGGATGTCATGCCGGCTGCTGCTGTTGCAGCTGGTGCTGCTGCTGATGATGTCACAGAGGTTTTCTTTTTCTGCAAATGGGAGAGGGAAGCAGAGCAGACAGGGTTCAGCAAAACGCATCCATGACATGGTTGAAAACAGAGGTTGAAGCACTCGTTCCTGCCTTCTCAGCCCAAAAATGAGATCACTGACTGCAACAACCTCACAGCTCACCGCATGAACCAAACGAGATTTGACACAGCACCTCACGTGCGGTTATTGCACTGTCACTCACTTTTGCTGGAGGCCTCTCCTTGGCAGCAGCAGCAACAGCCGCAGCAGCAGCAACCTGTGATGCCACCACTGCTACTCCACCAGCGTCCTCCACCCCGCCTGCCCAACCATCCCCACCTTCCCCCCGCTCTCCCCCCTCCCCCGCCTCTTCCCCTGCACTGCCCCCACCAGCCTCCGAGCCACCCTCCCCCACCCTGCCCCGCTTTGCTCTTCCCCCCACAGCAGCACCACCGTCCCCTTTCCCCGCTCCCCTCCCCCCTGCCCTCCCCCAGCCTGCTCCCTTCCCCCCCACTGCTCCTCTCACTTCCCCTTCTGTCCCCCAACCACCACCACCTGCAGCAGCAGCAGCAGCAGCAGCAGCAGCAGCCACACCAGCAGCAGCAGGCTCAGGCATGGTGGCAGCATCGGGCAGAGAGGAAGCGCCCTCCCCCACCTGCTGCCTTCCCCACGCCATCACAGCTCTTGCCATGCCTGCCACGTCAGCATCTACAGTAAACCCTAACGTGGCAGCATACTCCCCACTCTGACCTCCCATGCCCATCCCTCCCCTTCCAGCTGCTGCCACGTCAGCACCAGTGGGATGCCAATCCATGTCTGGTTCTGACGGCTGCCCTTCCTCCCCTTCGATATAGTCACCCTCGTATTGGAACCCCCCCTCATAGTACCTTGAATTCAGCACCCTCTTCCTGCGGCTCCTCTCACTCAATCCTTTCTCCAACACTTTCTCACTCCCTCCCCTCTCACTCCCTCCCACTGCTCCTGCTGCCGCTTGCGCTCCCCTGCCAGCCTCCTCCATTCTCCCCTCGCCCCTCCCAGCCCCCCCACCAACACCACCCACTAATCCACTCCCCTTGCCAGCTATACCTCCTGTGTCACCAGACAGAGCATTTGCCTGTCCGGCTGTAGCAGCTGTAGCATCTGTAGCAGCGTGGTCAAGCGCAGCTGAAGCAGCAGCTTTCCCAGAAGCAGGAACTGAGTCGCCAGCTGTAGCGCCAGCTGCAATCGGTGCTGCTTTCTTCCCGTGTGCCCCTGCCCCTGCCTCTCGCCCTTTCCCCTTGCCTCCCTTCCCACTGCTTCCACCAGCACCTCCCACTCGCTTCCCCTTCCCTTTGCTGCCACCACTGCCAGCATTGGCAGCAGCAGCAGCAGGAGCAATATTGACAGTGGCAGCAGAAACGGCAGCAGCAGGAGGCAGAGGGGCGGGCAGGCCGCGGAGAGGGCTGGAGAGTGGGCTGGCGCTCATGACATGGTTCGGACTGGCGCGCGCAGCAATGGCAGTAGTAACGGCAGCAGTAGCAGGAGCAGCAGGGACAGCAGGAGCAAGCGCAGGTGCAGGAGTGAGAGCAGCAGCATGGGGCGGAGAAGAAAGAGGGGAGCGAGTGGAAGCAGGGGCAGAGGGGAAGGCAGCAACAGCAGCAGGGGATGTAAAGGGGAAGGCAGCAGGTGTACGGAGAGGGCTAGTGACAGGGCTGCTCCCTTGCACTCCCACACCCGTGGGCACTCCCACACCTGGTGCCATTCCGATGCCCCACCCTGCACCACCACCACTGCCTGCCACCCCCTCCAACTGCTGCTGCTGCTGCTGCTGCTGCTGCTGCTGGCGCTGATCCCAGCCAGGCGAAAATCCTGTCACATGTGCTCCCCCTGCTACTCCTCCTGCTCCTCCTCCTGTCCCCACTGCTGCTCCTCCACCTCCTGCTCCCCCCATCCCCACTCCCCCTGCTGCTGCAAGCCGTTCCTCCTGCTGCCGGGCCAGCAGCTGGACCAGCAGCTGGGGTCGCTCCAGCAGTGTGGCAGCAGCCACGGCGGCCCCTCGCGACTGCAGCACCTGCTGCCACACCTGCTGCAGCACCGCCTCGCTCACCATGCTCTGCACCGCACCCACTGCTCCCTGCTCCTCTGCTTGCTGCTGCACCTGCTGCTGCTGCTGAAGTGGCTGCTGCTGCTGCTGCTGCTGCAGTTGCTGCTGTTGCTGTTGTGGTTCTTGCTGTTGTTGTTGTGGTTCTTGCTGTTGTTGTTGCGACGGCTGTGGTTGTTGCAGTGGCTGCTGTGGTTGTTGGGGCTGCTGCGGCAGTTGCGGTTGCTGTGGCTGTTGCTGCTGTTGCTGCAGCTCCAGCGCCCTCTGTTGCTGCTGCAGCAGCACCTGCTGCTGCCACGCGCCTGCCAGTCCAAACTGCTGCTGCCGCTGCAGCTCCTGCTGCGCCTGCCTCTCCATCTCCTCCTCCAGCTGCTGCTGCTGCCGCCGCCGCTGCTCCTGCTGCTTCTGCTGCATCTGCTGCCGCTTCTGCTGCAGCCGCTGCTGCCTCTGCTTCTCCTTCAACATTCGCTGCTGCTCCTGCTGTTGCTGCTGCTGCTGCTGCTCCTCCTGTCCCTGTCCATCACGCTGCCTGCTTGCCACCACGTCCCTTGGCCCCTCCTCTCGCTCTTTACCTTTCACCACCTCCCTAGCCCCCTCATCTCGCTGCTCCTCCTGCTTCCCTTCGTCCTCTTCTTGCCGTCCATGCTCTTGCTGCGCCGCTTGCACCAGCTGCCTCTGTGCCCCCTGCCCTTCCCCCGCATCCTGCCTCTGCGTCCCCTCCGCCTCTTCCCCACCTTGCAGCTGCTCTGTCCCCTCCCCTCCTAGCGGCTTCCCTCGCGCCTCGTCACTCCAGCCACCATCACCCGCCAAACCGGGACTCGTTTCAGCAATCTGCTGCGCTGCAGGCAGCTGCGCGGTAGGTAACACTTTTCGTTGAGGGGAAGCTGCACAAGTGTGAGCAAAGGTGTGTGTAGCAGTGTGAGCAGGAGCGGGGTCAGCAGCATGAGCATCTGTCACCATGTGTTGCGGACTACTGCTCGCCTGCCCTCTCAGCACGCCGCTCCCACCTCTTCCACTGCCGCCACCATCCCTCTCACCACCTCCCTCCTCTCCCGCCTGCCCACCACTCAACTCGTGCCCCTGCCTCCCTGCCTGCCCGTCCTCCCGCCCTTGCTCCTGTGCCTGCCCACTCGCCTGCTGCTCCTGCTGCGCCTGCTGCCCTCCCTGCACTCCCTGCCCTCCCTTCCCTCTCCGCCTCTGCCGCCCTGCCTGCTGCTGCTCGCCTGCCTTCCGCCCCTTGTGCTGCCTCACCGTTTCATCCCTTCCCACCCCCTCCCTCTCCACTCCATTCTTTTGCACTCCCTCCCTCTGCACTCCATTCCTCGGCACCACCTCAACACAGGGCCCCGCCTTTCCCTCGTCCTGCCTAACCCTCTCTGCATCAGCTTTAGCCAACTCAGCCTGTGCCACGTCAGCGTGTGCCACCTGTACATGTGCAGTCTCATTTGCTTGAGACTCCATCCGTGGCCCTGTCCCACCAGCCCCACCTACACATGTCTGGTTCCTAGCATCTGTCAGCTCATCAGTCCGTGTCAGTGCCTGTAACTGTACATGCGTTTCATCTACCGTTTCATCAACCACCTTAGAGTGTTCCGCATCACCTTCTCTAGTTGTTCCCATTTCCATAACCTCTGCCTCGTCCGTTTGTCTGAGGGCACGCCCATCCACCAAGTGCCTCGCGTCAACCACACACTCCACCTGCCACCCCTTCTCACCCTTGCTTCTCTGCTGCTGCTCTTGCTCCTCCCTCTCCCCGACATGCCTCTGCCTCGCCAATCCTGCTGCTGTGCCACCAGCCATCGGCCTTCCACCCTCACCCGTGTCCTCCAAACGCGCCTCCCCGTTTCCTTGTTGCTCACCTTCTCCCCCTCCTCTCGCCACGCTCCCTGCGTTGCCCTCTCCTGATGTCATGCCGGCCCCCACTGCCCCTCCACGCACCTCCATCTCCACGTCTTCCCCTCCACTGCTCACTCTGAGATCCTGCACCTCAGCACCTTCTTCCCCTTCTCCCCCTTCCCCTGCTTCTCTTGCTCCTCCCCCTTGTCCCGCTTCTCCCCCGTCTCTTCCCCCCTTCGCCTCACCCTCCTCTCCGCCTGCTGTCCTCTCCGCCACAGCCCCACCCCGGGGCTGCATACGCTCTCCCTCTGCCTCTTGCCGCCCCTCCCGAGCCTGCGCTTGTTCCCCCTGTGTTTGCCGAACCTGTTTCCGCCGAGCCTCAGCCTGCCGAACCTGCTGCTGCATGCGCTGCTGCTCCTCCCACTGCTTCTGAATCAGCTGCCGTCGCTGCAGCCTCAGCTGCCTTGACTCCGAAGGGCCCACGACCCCGCTCACGCCTTCCCTTTCACCATTTCTCCCATTCTCCCCCTCACTCGCCCCTTCAACTGCCTCACCCTTGCCCCCAGCCTCACCTTCCACCCCATTTTGCCCGGCACCCATATCCCTCGCTCCATCTGACTGCCCTCTCTCCTCCCCCACTCTCTCCTCCTCCGCTTCCTCCCCTTCCCTCAGGTCAATCGCCCAGCCAGCTTCCTCCTCCTCTCCTGCTTCTGCCTCCCCACCCACACGGCTCTTCCACCTCGCTTCTCCCCCCGCCCCTCTCTCCCCGCTCCTCACCCTTCTACCCGGCACTGCCCTTCCCAGCCGTCCCTCAACCTTCCACCTGCCTCGCCCTCTGCCTCTGCCTCTGCCCCGCCCCGCCCTCACTCCCTTACCACGTGCGCCCCTGCTCCCCCCCTCCTTCCACTCACCTGCGCCAGCCCCGTCAGACACACGTGCACTTGCAGCAGTGTCGGCTGCGCCGGCACCACCACCACCTGCAGCATCTGCACCCGCTGCAGCGTATTCAGCCCCTGAAGCATCAGTTTCGTCAGCATCATCACTCGCTCGCTCTAATCTCGCCTCCTCTCTCGCCTCGTCCCCGCTCTCCTCTGCTACATCTGCTACTGCATTCTCACCCCCCTCCCGCATCCCCCCTCCCAACGGTCCCCCAAACCCCTCCGCCTCTGTAGCCTCCCCTCGCATCTCTCCTTCCACCTCCCCCTCCCCCTCCCGCTTCACTCTCCCTTCCCCCATCGCCCGCCACCCAGACTGCAATCTCCGCCGCTTTCCCCCCCCTCTCGCCCCCTCCACGGCCTCTCCGCCCTGCTGTTGCGCCACCTGCTGCGCCTCACTCCCACTCCGCACACCCTTTCCCGCGAATGCCTCTGCAGCAGGCGCAGCAGCCCCGCCTCCAACCGCCGCTCCCCCTGCTGCAGCACCAGCAGCGCCACTCACTGCTGCAGCCACAGCAGCAGTATCAGAAGACGCCTCCCCCGGCTCTACCTTCGCCTGCAGCGATGCTGCCTGCCGCCCACCACCCCGCCTCGCGCTCACTCTCCTCCCCCTGCCCTCCTCCATCGGCTGCGCCCCCCCTTGCGCCCCTCTAGCCCGTGCAACGGGGGAAGCAGGGGCGGAAGCAATGGGGGAGGAGCGGAGATGGCGCGGGCTGGGCGGGTGTGGGGCAGCGCCAGGGGCTGCGCTTGCTGGGGCGCGCCCACTGGCGCCAGGCCCCCCTGCTGCTGACTGTCCCATACCTGCCCCGCCCGCCTCAGTGGGCAGGGCAGAGGCTGTGGCAGCAGGTGGTCGTTGACTGCGTTGTCTCCGTTGACCCGTTTGGCCAGTTTGACCTCTTCGACCTGTTTGACCTGGTTGACCTTGTCTGCTGCGAGGCCGAGTGGGCCATCCACCAGAACCTAACCACTCCCACGCTGCTCCCTCTAACCCTAACCCTAATCCTAGCCCATGCCCGCCTATTCCATCTTCTTGACCATCTCGCTCCAATCCATCTGCTCCTTCCACTGCTCCCTCTGGTGGCCCTCCTTGCGCCCCTCCCTCTCCCCCTGACAGGGCATGCGCAGCCCCCCATCCCCTCCGCACCACCTCCTCGTCCCTCCCCCGCCCCCCCATCCGCCACCTGCTGCGGCGCCCCACCCTCGCCCTTCCCCCTGCGCTCGCAACCTCCCCCTCCTCCCCCGCCCCCTGTGCTCCGCCGTCCGTTCCCTGCTCTTCCCCCGCGCCCCTTACTATTGCGCCGGCTGCAGTGTGCGGCTCCCCCGCGTCTTCCGCGCGCCCTGGACCACCAGCGCCGACATCAGTAGCGCGCCGAGCCATCCCCACGCCTCTCCCTCTCCCCCTCCGCCCCCGCACCCCGCCCAGAGCTCCCCTTGGCCGCCCCACCCGCCCATGAGCGGGGAGGGAACGCGGGGCGGAGAGGAAAGGGGGATGGTGTTGGTCATGGGCTGGATGGTGGGATGGGGGGGGCGGAGGGGGGAGAGAGTCAGGGGCGGAGAGGTCGCCGCGGGGATGATGGTGGGGGTGCCGGTGGGGGGTTGCGCTACTTTGCCCCACAGCGAGCTCGTGGTGCGAAATCTCCGTCAGGAGAAAATCCAGAAACTCCTGACGCGCGTGCACACCTGTCCTCGTCTCATTGGCTGGCGGAGCAAGCACGCCGTTAACGGCCACACGGAGATTCAATGGACCTGACCGGCCGTCCCGCCCACTCTTCACGTCACCTGGCCCGAATCCTAACTCCGTCTTCACGCCTCTCCCTATCCGCCCTTCCCCTCGTGCCTGCCCTCTGGCCAGTAGCGACCTGCCACGTGGCTGCCTAGTCCCTACCACTCCCGCCTCCCCGCCCGACCAGGGAAGAGGCGGGGAGGCCAGGGGGGGCTCGTCCGCCTCACCGGCACCACCTTCCTCCCCCAACCCTAATCCTTCCCCCAATAACCACTCTGCCATGTCCGCCTCCCCCACGGCCTCCAGCGCCCCGGGCGGCAGGGGCAGGGCGAGCGCGTCGGGCGCATGGCGGAGCATCCACGCCTGGAGCTCCTCCAGCTCGCGCTCCGATATGGGCACGGCGTCAAGGAAGTCAACGGAGTCAACGCGGTCAACGAGGTCAACGGGGTCCACCCTGCACAGCCTGTACACAACCTGCTCGCCGTCGCCTCCATCGCCCCATTCGCCGTCCAACGCAACCGCGTCCGTGCCACCCTGGCCTTGTCTCCTCGCCTCAGCATCCCCTCCCTGCTGCTGCTGAGCATCTGTGTTCGACAACCTCTGCTCCTGCTTCACTCTACCCTCCTCGTCCCCTCCTTCCTGCCCCTGCTCGTGACTACTATTTACTCCCGCCTCCTCCCCCTCCTTCGCCTCTTTCGCCTCCTCCCCCTCCCCCTCCACCCACTCCTGCTCTTCCTCCTTTATTTCCACGCTCCTCGCTTCCCCACCGTCGCCGCAGCCTCTCTCCGCTACACTCACTCCCTCTAACATCACATCCCCTGCTGCAGCCGGCACCATCTCCCCAGAACGTCCCTCGCACTGCCTCGCACCGTCGCAACCCCCGGGCTCCTGACCCCGCTGCTCCGACGACTGCCTAAGCACCGCCGTACCCTCTCTACCGGCTCCCACCGCTCTCTCCTCAATCAACCTCGCGCCTCGGTCTCTTGACATCTTCTTCCTGATTGGCTGACGCTGGTGCTGATTCTGAAGCGCCTGCGGCGGCAGGAGCGGCTGCTGGTTAGCTCCCGGCGCTACTGGAAGGGCCATTTCCATGGCGCTTGGCCTGTCCCCTTCGCCGCGACGCTGACATCAGCACGCATGCGATTCTGACATCACTGTTTCGTCTCACGACCCCTGGAATCACCGAGCTATGCTACGCCAAGGGAAACGGCAGGCGATGGGGAAGCGGTGAGCGGGAAGTGTGGGAAGAAAACCACGGGCTCGCGATACTGCTTTACCACCTGGTCTGGATTTCGCAGCGACGCACGACAGCGCCTGGAAGGCGGGGGCACCCACGCGTGTGGCACGACTGGGAGAGGACGACGGAGAGAAGAACGATGGGAGGGAGCTGACGAGACGTCCGACGGCACACACCGGTGTGATGGCGGTTGACGAGGGAGCAGGGGGACGAGGCTGACGCGGTCCGAGAGAAGGCAAGGCACGGTCGATGGCCAGTTAGGGTTAGATGGAATGTTATGGGGCAACGCGAGCAAACACGGGGACGAAGGCACCGCGGAAAATACCAACGCGTCGGCTTAGCCCGATACAGGAGTCTATGATGTGTAACAGGTGCGGGAAACGGATATTGTATTGCGTGGACGACGACAAGCAGGAAATTAACAGGTAAAGTAGGAAAAATAATCGTCTCGTTGGCTTCGTCCTAAACGCGGTGTGCAGTTACTCAGGAAGCGCTAACTGCGAGTTCGCGCGTGCAGGCCTGGAGAATCCTAAGCTGAAACGAGGACGCCTACTAAGATATGGTCGAATTTCAGAGGGGCGACAATAAACAGTACCACGTTGCGACCCGGAAAAAGCCAGCCTGAAATAATGGCGACAGTAAGGACGAAGCATTGTCTCGTAGCGCACGAAAAGCTATTATACGGCCCAAATTCTCTCGAGAACTCCTCTTCCTTGCTTTAGCGAGCTTGTGCAGTGCTTTTTTGGCGTGGGCAATGTCTGGCTCAGCGCGGCTTGCGCCTGAGAGCTCACTACACGCTACCTATTTGTCTTGGTGTGGCGAGAACCAGAAATGCTGAGTTGAGGGGAGAGTCCCTTGGGGGCTCGGGATTGCCGCAGTCCCGTCAGATGCACCAAGTCGCCTCGAGAGAGTCTCTCCACCACTCTCCCGTCTCTTCGACTCGACTCCAACCAGCGGGGGCCAACGCAAAGCTGTCTCACCTTGTTGCGCGTCGCATGCAGCAAAGCAGCCGCTCAGGTCAGGTCTGGTCAGTTCAAACTTCCGAACTAAAAAAACTGAGGAAGAAACGGGTGCAGTTTTGTTCGTGCTGCCCAAATGCTTGCGCAATTTTTGGGAAAGTTTAGCTTTGGAGCACCAACCTCTTGGTTGTCATCCTACATGGCTGCACCTGACGGGCTATCCACGTTTTGCCAGATCCGAAACAGCGGCGGGATTCCACGTCGTTCGTCATCCGAAGCTGAGTCCTCTCTGCCAAATCTATCGCCAGCTCCGGCGTCAGGCGACGGTTCTGCCCTGGCTTGAAACACGATGGAGGGATAACATTCCAAAGGTACCACAGAGAAAGGACTATTAGATTCTTTAGCTTATGTTGTGGGTTAACCAGCTTGGGAAAGCTGATTGCATCCCGATTGACTACAGAACCACTCTTACAGTTGAGTCCACACCCTCAAAGCGCTTAAAATATATAAAGGGGGTATATTCGGAAGCACATGAATTGTTCAGGTATTCTACAACTGTACATACAATCTCCCCATAACTCCGAACCTCACAATTCGGCAGCCTTGGACCCACAGCCACGTAACCAGGTGATTGTGAGAACGAATCAAAGTCCAGTGCGTGACGTAGCAGTGCCCCCATCGAGTATCCAGCAACAATCTGCGTTTGTATACAGTAACAGCACAACTTTCAGCTCAAGCTCAAGTGTATCCAGAACAACATGCCGCATGTAGTAACCTATGAAAGTTATGGGCAAGGTTCTTGGCAGTCAGAGCCATGCAAGATTTTGAGGTGAGATATACGGTACAACACATGCACAAGCACACGACCAGGCTGAGAACCGTAAGTTTTTTGCCACCACTGTCCACTCAGAGTGTTCAATTCTTCAAATCAATCCAAGGAAGGAAAGCATAATCACATTCTTTTGTAACTACCTTTCATCGAGTAACAATCCACAAAATCTATTTACAATAATCACAAGGGTCTGAAGAAAACAGCAACAAGCAATAACACCTCTATGGCAGCAAAATGATGTCATCTGCAATAAACACATACTAAGTCATCCATCTTCAGAGAAGCATAGAGAGGTAGAGCATAGAAAGAGATGTGCAAAAAATAATTCAATGATACTTCACCTGCATGAATCAAGTTCGCATCTTGGATGTTGTTGATCTGCATAATTGCATCCACTGTTGTTCCATGCATACGCGCTATGGCATACAGAGTGTCACCCTGCACGTGCACAGTTTCATACTCACAGCCGTACGGTCACCACCATGTAATGTGAGACAGTTTCTGACGTCATAGCTGAACTACAACTGTGAATAGCAAAGCCAAGGTATGCAGGAAACGGCGTGTGAAGAGCACATACCGCTTGCAATGCTCATGCGTGTGCAGAGCAAACCTTTTCAAGGGTGTGTGTGCGGGAACACACCTTTGCGATGGTGTATGTGCGCGGAACCCAGAGGCTCTGACCAGGGTGTAAGAGGTCTGAGCGTAGTGCATTGGCCTGCCAACACTCCATGGGAAGCACATCGGTGAGCACACCCAAGGGAGTAATAAATTTGACAGAAAAAAATTAACAGGGGACATGGTGAAAATTTTCCCTTTGACAGTAATAAATTTGAGGCAGAGAGCACAATTTTCCCTTTGCTAGAACCCTCTCTTCTCGACCCCAACGGACCAGACCAGACCAGCACGTCGTCACCTGCATGAGGATCTCCACAGTGCTTCCCAGCTGGCCGGCAATCTTTGTCAGGTTGTCGCCAGGTTGCACGTCGTAGTAGGACCTCCCCCCCTCGTGGCGCAAAGGCAGGGCTGCGGCGGAGCAAGAAGGGGAGGTAAAAGTGCAGTGAGGAGAGGTCGGGAAACAACTGTTCGAGCTCTGCTCACTCGACCCCTCATTCACCCCCTCCCACTCCCCCCTTCCTCACTCTCCACACTCCTCACCACGAGTCCCCCTCCGCCCACCTTGCTGCTTGTCGGAAGAGCCGAAGGGCCACATGATGTCGTCCCGCCGCGGCTGCTCCCCACTCCTCGACTCTCTCGTCCGCCTCCAAGACCGCTTCGGCAAGCCGCTGAGCCCACGGAAATTAGAACAGAGAGGTCAACTAGTATTTTCTGCTAATGGTTTATCTAGATTACTGCTTGCTAGGAAGTCGAACGAACTCGGAAGGACTTTGACCGAGGAGGTGAAAAAAGCGTGCGAAGCGAGACGGTGCGGCGTAACGGTAGGCGCACTCTGGTGGAAAATGGATTTAGACCGATTGAACAGATGAGACAGATGCGACAAGACGCGACGATTAGCCTCACGCCACAGTGCCTCCCAAGGTCTGCTCTAGTGGACTACAAGCGACCCGCGAGGGACGTGCCAGTCTGCGGCTGATATGTGAACAGCTGTCCAAGCCCGTTTCATAAAAACATGTCATGCAGTCAGAGAGTAGCTCCGATATCATCCCTAGCACTCGAAACACAGTCAGTGACTGTTGGTGGTGTTCACGCGTTCAGAAATTGGAATGCTTGGGGTGTTATGAGTTGTAAAAGAGAGTGCGCAGGTAAACGAATAACGAGACTGTGACTGAATGAATCTGAGAATACAATGAATGCGAGAACTAATGTAGGCTAGCCTAGCTAGGAGGAAACCTCGGACGAGCGAGGTTGGGTGCAGGTTTGGCGATGGGAATGCCGAAGGCGACGCGAGGAGCTTCGGCAGCGTGGAAATCGCCCGAACGTGCGAACTCCGAAAATCGGGTTGTACGCGCAGCAGTCAACCCCGATAAGGAATTCGAGAAAATTCCTTACACCACCCCCCCCCCTTAAGAAAGGCGGTCAATATCCGAAACACGCTTGCGCGCCAAATAATCACCAACAAGTGGCGAGGCGTCGAGCGAGGCGGATGGCACCCACGTGTCGTCCTCACTGGTGCGATCAGTCCAGCGGATTAAGAAATCCACGTGTCGGCCAGCTGCGTCAAGTCGAACCCGATGAGCGAGAATCTTCGATGGATCGAGTGTCGGCTCCGGGACAGGTCGAGCTGTCGGGATAGCTTGCTGACGTGCGATGTCGGTCGTGGCTGGCACGAACTTGCGAAGCAGGCTGACGTGGAAGGCGTCATGAATTCGCCAGTCGTCCGGTAGTAACAGCTTCGCGGTGACAGGTGTCACCATCTTGATAATCTTGAACGGTCCGCAAAATCGGGGCCGTAGCTTCGATGGGCCGGGCAGATGCAGGTTCTTCGTGTCGAGGAGCACTAATTGCCCAGTGGTCAAGACGAGTTCCCGGCGTAGAAGGTCGGTGTACTTGCGGGAAGTAATATTCGCCTTGCGAATTGCGTCTGCTGCTTTCTCGCGGATGTGCTGAAGTTCCGTCACAAAAGTTTGGGCTCGTGGGACCGGGTTGTCGAGCGAAGTTGCCGTGGGCACCGTCGGATCCATCCCGTAATTCAAGAAGAACGGGGAGTGATTAGTCGTGCTCGATGGTGCGTTGTTGAAGGCAAACTCCAACATGGCGAGGGAATCTTCCCATCGTGCGGGGTCGGGGCAGTTTGTCCGTATCAGCTGCTCCATCGTCTGGTTGGTTCGCTCGGTTTGTCCGTCCGTCTGTGGGTGGTAGGCCGATGAGAACTGTAGCTTCGTGCCGTACTGCGCCCATGTTTCCTTCCAAAACTTGGATGTAAACTTCGGGTCCCGGTCGGTGATGATCGCCGAAGGGATGCCGTGTAGTCGCACGACCGTTGAGATGAAGAGGCGCGCAGTTTCTTCGGCTGTGATCGTCGTTCGGCATGGTGCGAAGTGCGCCATTTTCGTGAAGCGATCGACGACGACGAGGACAGCGTCGTTGCCGGACGGCCCAGCTGGCATCCCCGTGACGAAATCCATCGTCACCTGTTGCCACGGTCGTTCGGGTGGCTCGAGGGGTTGCAGCAGCCCAGCTGGTCGCTGTCGTGTCGATTTCATGGCTTGGCACACCCTGCATGAGGACACATAACGCTGCACGTCGTTAGAGGAATCGGGCCAGTAATATTGACGGTGCAGTAATTTCTGGGTTTTATCAACCCCGAAGTGTCCGGAGTAGTTCGAATCGTGGACCTCCTGGATGAGGAGTTCACGCAGCAGCCGGTAAGCGGGGACCCAAATCCTGTCGGTGCCGGCTTTTAGGTAATAATCCCCCTTCTGCGTCGTGGCCTGCTGATGATTTCCTGTCGTGAAGAACGGGTCCGTAGTGTAGCCGTGGGTGAATACTCCTGTAAGTAGCGGGTTAAAATGGGTGATCAGTACAGCAGCGGATTGTACGGTCGGTCTGGTCAGGGCGTCGGCGATGTTATTCGCCCCTTTCTTGTACGTGATGCGGTAGGTGAAGTGGCTTTCCATGTAATCCAGCCACCGAATTTGTCGCGGGTTGAGGTTCGGTTGAGCTCGCAGGTACTGTAGGGACTTGTGGTCCGTGCGCACAGTGACGTCGGCGCCCACCAGGTAGCAGCGCCACAGTTTAAACGCGTGGATTATGGCGAGCATCTCCTTGTCGTGGATCGGGTAGTTGCGCTCGGCAGCTTGCAGCTTGCGTGATTCGTAGGCGATCGGCTGCAGCCCGTTCCCGAAATCCTGGAGAAGCACTGCTCCGATGGCGAAATCAGAGGCGTCGGTTACGACTTCGAACGGCTTCGATGGGTCGGCGATGCGCAGCACAGGAGGGGAAACGAGAAAATTCTTGAGCTCCTGGAAAGCCGCCTCTGCCTCCTCCCCCCACACGAAATTCTTGTCCTTGTGCAGCAGGTCGGTCAGCGGGCCGGTTATCCCTGCCATATTCGGGATAAACCGCCTGACGTAATTCACGAACCCCAGAAAACTCTGAAGTTCCGTGACATTAGTCGGGGCCTTCCACTCCTGTATGGTTTTAATCTTCGCCGGGTCGATTTTGATGCCGTCGCGGGAGATGACGTGCCCTAAAAACTCCAACTCCTGCTTAAAAAACTCGCACTTAGAGCCCTTGGTGATGAGTCGGTTCTCTTGCAGCCGTTTAAATACTGCGTCCAGGTCGCGGAGATGCTGCTCCCGTGTCTTGCTAAAAATCAGGATATCGTCCAAATAGACGATGACACATCGGTCTAGAAGATCCCGAAAAACCCTGTTCATGGTCAGTTGAAATGTCGAAGGCGCGTTCGTGAGGCCGAAAGGCATCACCGTGAATTCGTAACTCCCGTAGCGTGTACGAAACGCGGTCTTGTGACAATCGTCGGCGAAGACCCGAATCTGGTGGTAACCGCCACGTAAGTCGATTTTCGAGAAGTAGCGAGCGCCGCGAAGTTGATCGAGAAGGTCGTCGGTGCGTGGGATTGGGTTCAACGCGCGATAATCGATGCACATGCGAAGCCCGCCGTCCTTCTTCGGAGTGAACAGGATCGGTGCCGCGAACGGGGAGGTGCTAGGCCGAATGAACCCTTTCTCCAACAGTGCGTCAATTTGTCGGCGTAGTTCCTCGAGTTCCGGCTGGGTCAACCGCCACTGTGTCCGAACAGTAGGTTGCGCGCCAGGTTCCAGCTGGATTTTATGGTCTTCGGGTCTTTCGGGTGGCAGCCCAGGTGGCAGATCGTCCGGGAAAATGTCGGGGTACCGTCGAATTAGCTCCGCTAAATCCGGAGGAACAGCTGCACACAGATATTCGATGTCCTTTCCGTCGGTGTCGACTGCCAACTCGCGCAAGCAGACGGCGAACAGCTGCGCACCCCTGTTGAAGTGGTGGGCGATGGTGATGGCTTTGACGCACGGGGCTTGTATGTAGTCAGGTGTCCATGCAGGCAACTTAATTAGCCCCTCGTGCTTGCTGACGCAGCACGATCCCGTTGTCCAGTCGATGACGGGGTTGTGTCGTCGCAGCCAATCGCGTCCCAGCAGCACGTCGCAGCCATCCAGCGTCGTCGCGAGGAACTTCATGCTGAAGCCGAAATCTTCGCCGCACTCGATCCGCACCGTCCGTGTTTCTTCCGTTATCGCCAGAGGCGTCCCATCCACGAGGCGTGCGTCGATTTCGGGCAGACACCTGTCAAGTTGCATGTTGCATTTTTTTGCGCTCGCCAAGTTGAAGAGGCTATGGCTGGCCCCTCCATCGACGAACATTTTCAAATGATGTTTCCCCACCTTGCCAGCGACCAGCACAGGGTGATCCACATGATTATCCCCGTTATTCGGCCGAGTGCGATCGATTGCATGAATCGGAACCACGACTCGGTGGGGATGGTGGTGTTCGGGCGACGGAGCACAGTCAGTAAAGGGCCCGCTACTTACTGACTCTTCCCATTTCCCTGCTCCTTCCTGTCGTTCTCTGTCAGCGGCATTTTCTCCTTGCATTCGTTCTTCCAGTGACCCACCTTCCCACACCGGAAACACTGACCCTTAGGAGGGCGGTCGGGTGTATGGACGGCGTTGATTGTGGCCCGATGGGTCTGGCCACGAAAACCTCTCCCATCCCTGGAAGCCGTTCTCGCGTACTGCATCAGCGCATCCGTTGACTCTGCCACGCGTACTGCTTCGAGGAACGATGTCGGGCGGCTGCGGCGAACTTCGAACTGTATCTCGTACTTAAGGCCGCTCACGTATTTATCCAACCGCTCAGCTTCCGACATGTCATCGATTTGGTCGGCGAAGCCCATAAATGACGCCGTGTAGTCTTGGACAGATCCCATCTGCGACCATGCACGCAGCTTCATGCGAGCTTGCTCCGAGGCGGATACGTGCTCGAAGCGATCCCGTAAGGCTGCGCCCCACTCCTTCCATGTGCGTATCTTGGTCACACCGAAGATCGGTTCTGCAACTTGATTAACCACTGTAGAGGTCCCGTCTGCCGCATGTGTCACACCTGTCGGCGTCCCTGTTTCCAAGGTCCGGCGCCACCATTCAAGTGCTGCACCTCGAAGAAGCGAGACTGCGTAATTAATGCGCGTGGCATCGTCATTAACTCCGGCTGCAGTGAAGAAGACTTCAACCCCGAACAGCCACCCCTTCACTGTAGTCGTCTTGTCCGTAGGATTAAACGGGGGCGGGTTGACGGGCTTGATCTTGATCGTCGTAACTGCAACTGGCGCTGCCGCCGCTCGCTGCCTATCTTCTTCTTCGAAGTCGCGTGTGAGCTCGTCCAGAGGATTGCCCATCACTTGACTGTTGCCCTCGCCTTCGTCCACAGGCGACGTCTGACGCGCTTCACCTCGCGTCCGGCGTAGCTCGGCGTTTTCCTCCTTCAGTGTTGTCACTTCCGCTTGCAGCGATTCCATGCCCCTCGCCATTTCTGCCACTTGCGCCATCAGTCGGTTAACAGCCTCCTGATCCATGTTTCTAGCACTACGTCTGGTGGGCAGTTGGGTACCCGTGGCCGCCCGGCAAGTGAAAACACGAACTATCGGAGTCGGGCAGGGTTGAGTTAACAACCTCTGCAGCCAACCGTCGTGTAGTCACTAAACCAACCACACCCTATGCCACCAAACTACCCTTGAAAAGCGGGGTGAACTAGGAAAGTAGCTCTGATACCAGGTGTTATGAGTTGTAAAAGAGAGTGCGCAGGTAAACGAATAACGAGACTGTGACTGAATGAATCTGAGAATACAATGAATGCGAGAACTAATGTAGGCTAGCCTAGCTAGGAGGAAACCTCGGACGAGCGAGGTTGGGTGCAGGTTTGGCGATGGGAATGCCGAAGGCGACGCGAGGAGCTTCGGCAGCGTGGAAATCGCCCGAACGTGCGAACTCCGAAAATCGGGTTGTACGCGCAGCAGTCAACCCCGATAAGGAATTCGAGAAAATTCCTTACATGGGGGGAGGGGAAAACCACGGCCCACCGCTCTTCGTTGCTCGGTAACGGGATCCTACTTGAAGGTTTTAGCGCTACATTGCCCACAACCATGTCATACGGTAAGTTCAGATGATGCTAATTATTGTTAGAACAGCTAGTGAACAACAGTGCAAAATCCAAAAATACATCTGTTCACAATTTGTCACACATCCTATGTTAAATTCAAGCAGTTTCACCAAACACGATTGCTAATCCTGATCCCCCATCCCCTTGGCTTTCAGAAACTTCTTTCTGTTGCTGCAAGTCTTCGTAAAACCATCAAATGGAATGCTACCCACTTCCCTACTCAGCCCTTCAACAGCATCCAGCACATACAGCACACATTCCTCGCCATCCCACCCCTCAAACCGCTGCAGGCTCTTGCATCCAGGTAGCAGTCGAGCCAATAATTTCTTCCCATTCGTCTGATCTGTATCCCCGTTTCCGACATCCACATGCCTGCCTTTCCCTGCCACTGTCGAACAACCTCCTGCTTCCAAACCAATCTGACCTCAGCCTCTCGACGTGCCCTCCCCTCCATGGCTCCTCGTTCCCTGTATTTCCCCCCCATCGTCTCCTTCCAACCCACTCTCAAGAAACCCCACAACATCGCTCCCAATCCTCGTGAAAAACATCCCCTCCAAACCACTAGGCCAGAGCTCACCCGAGCGAAAGACTGACAGAGGTAGAGGGGCCCAGTGAACAGCGTGGAGACACCGCAGGCCGTGCCAAGCACTCAGATCCAGCGACTGGGAATCTATAGGATTCCTCCACTCTAGGGCCTTGACGGTCGCTATCACACCCGGCGGGAGGCATGCCGCCTGCTCTGGCTGCATGCTGGTGCAGAGGGAGTCAAGCGAGGTGAGGTGGGGCGCGTGGAACGCCCAGGGACAGGTCCCATCGGTGAAAAGGAAGAGAAATGTCAGGTGAGCAGGGCAGGTGGGGAGCAGGTGCAGCTGGGAGTGGCGGGACTTCCAGTGAAAGCCGAGGTCCATGAGACGAGGGGCGGAGATCGAAACGGAGCAGTCAATCCCGATCAATGAGACGTTAGTGGCCAGCGGCAGGTGTAAAGCACACGACTCTCGACCGTCCATGTTTTCCGTACTGCTCTCAGCACCCTCTTCGGCCTCCTGAGCTGCAAATTGACCCGCAGAAAAAGAAAGATAGAGATAGTGAAGCTGGCCAGAGAGGCAGGAGACGAAGCGGAGGACGAGAGGCGAGCAGGTGGGGAGTGAGAGCTCGAGGCGAGACAGCACGGGAAAAGGCCTGTCCGGGTCATCCGGGTTCCTCTCCTCCATGATTGAGATCAGCTCCCACATCTCCGCCACGAGCACTGAGTCGTTGCAGGGACGCCGCACCACCTCGTGGACGCCGTCTGTCCGTTCAACGGCATGATCAAGAGAAATTGAGTGGAGGCGCGGCGCTTGAGAGAGCGAGTAGAGAAGGCGAGGAGGGGAGGGGAGGCGTTGGGAGAAGTCGAGATTGACAGAAGTGAGGGAGGATAGGTAAGGGAAAACGCAGGAGCGTAAGAGGGAGCAAAAGAGGCGCGGAGGTGAAGTATCGACAGAGATGAAGAGCTGGGAGGGCCGAGGGTGCTGTTTGGGTAGCCATGCGAAGCTGCGCATTTGTTGAGCGAGGGGGATGGTGGGGGGAGGACACTGGCAAGTCTCGTAGAACACGAGAACCGCGTCCTCTGATAGTGCGCGTCGCACGCACGGCATGGCGATGGCGCACGAAACCAGCGGCCACGAGCAGTAGCACTCGTCACCTCTCTCCACTACCACATTTGCGATGCGCCGCCACACGTCTGCGGGTAGCGCGTCAAGGTCGGCGTATCGAATCTCCGTCACGGGCTGGTTGTCGACGGCTCGGCGCGCCGCTGCTGAGCGCACTCCACGTTTCGATCGCTTCGCACTCGGAGGAACGGCCATGGACGGTCCCTGCCCTGCTCCTTCCTCCTCCTCCCCTTGCGCAGCCTCCTCTTGTACATCCTCCTCCAACTGCTCGCCTGCATCGGTAGCTTTCCCCCTCGCCTTCATCTCGATCCGCGTTTTCTCCTGCGAACCGTATCCTAGTTCACCAGCAGTGTCTAACTAGCGTTGTATGTAGTCAAGCTAAAATCGGTTCAATACGTGTCGAGTTTCTCAGTGCGTGTTGGGAAGAGCTGGCGTCGTATGAATGCAACGAGAGGTTGAAGCGAGAGGTTGGATGGGGATGGGGTGGATAAGAAGCTGCTTGATTTCAAAGTGAACCCCCCACCGATGGTTTTTTCCGCGCCAATACCAAATCATCTGATCTGAGTTCCCTCTGACACAATTCTCGTGCGACGGAGATTCCGTGCTGGCGAAACAAGAAGTATGCGTCGGTTGGAGTAACGAGCTGCAGATTCGTTCGCAAGAAAATCTCGTATACTTTGCGCGGGAGATCCGTTAGAAGGACGGAATCTTCCCCAACCACTCTGCACCGATATTGCCGTGTAAGCATCATTCACCTCAATTCCTCATGTTTTGTTTTAGATCAACTTTCTTGCATGGATGAAGGCATGGTGCTTGCATTGGATTCTGTACCTCAAACATAACACATTTGTTCTCTGCATATACAACTCTAGGTGTTATGCTAAACAGTGAAGCTGGTACACTATTACAGTGGTAGAGATGACCGCACACTGGCAGAAAACTACTGTACATACAATAGAGAAACCGTGCAAAATCCAGAAACATACCGTAGCAATCTGTCATGCATCCTATGCTAGATTCAAGCGGTTCACGAAACATGATTGCTAAGCCTAATCCACAATCCCTCTAACTTTCAAAAACTTCCGTTTGTTTTGGCAAGTCTTGGTAAAACCATCTCGTGAGTCACCCCCCACATCCCTACTCAGCCCTTGAGTAGCATCCAGCACATACAGCACACATTCCTTGTCATCCCACCCCTCAAACCGCTGCAGGTTCTGGCATCCAGGCACCAGCCGAGCCAATAGACTCCTCCCTTTTTCCCGATCCGCATCCCCGTTCCCAGCATCCGCATGACTGCCTTCCTCCGCCAATGTCGAACAACCTCCTGTTTCCAAGCCTACCTCACCTCGATCTCTCAACGTGCCCTCTAATCCATGACTCCTCGCTCCCAAGCTTTCCCCCCAATCGCCTCCTCCCAACCCCCTCTCAAGAAACCCCACAACCTCGCTCCCAATACCAGAGAAAAACATGCCCTCCAAGTCACACGGCCAGAGCTCACTTGAGCGAAAGACCGACAGAGGTACAGGGCCCCAGCCTACCGCATGGAGACAACGCAGGCCGTGCCAATCTCTCAGATCCAGCGACTGGAAATCCATAGGATATCGCCATTCTAGGACCTTGACGGTCTCTATCGCACCTGGAGGGAGGCATGCCTCCTGCCCTGGATCCATGTCAGTGCAGAGGAAGTGCAGCGACGTGAGGTGCGGCGCGTGCAACGCCCAGGGACAGATCGGGTCGGTGCGAAGGAAAAGAGATGTCAGGTGCGCGGGGCAGGTGGGGAGCAGGAGCAGGCGGGAATCGCGGGACTGCCAGTGAAAGGCGAGGGAGGAGAGGCGAGGGGCGGAGAGCGAGATAAAGCAGTTGATGCCATTGAGTCTGACGTCAGTGACCAGCGGGAGGTGAAGAGAAAATGACATCCGCCCGTCCGCGTCCCTCTCACGCGCGTTCTCGCCGCTTTCAGCGGCCTCTTCGCCCTCCTGTGCCACGAACTGATCGTCAGCTGCGAGATCAAGAGAGTGAAGCTGTGAGGAGAGGCAGGCGACGAAGCGGAGGACGAGAGGCGAGCAGGCGGAGAGGGAGAGACAGAGGCGGCGCAACACGGGAAACAGCCTGGCAGTGTCGTCCGGATTCTTTTCCTCCATGATTGATATTATTTCCCATATTTTGGCCACCATCACGGGATCGTTGCACTGGTAATTTGGAGCCGCACTCTCGCTGTCCGCCAGATCGCAATGCTGAATAAAAAGCGACTCGAGGCGCGGCGCTTGCGAGAGGGAGAAGAGGAGGCGCGGATGGGAGGGGAGACTTTGGGGGAAGCAGAAATCGAAGGAGGTGATGGAGGAGAGGGAAGGGAACAGGCAGGAGCGCATGAGGGAGGAAACGAGGCGGGGAGGCGCTTCAGTGGGAGTGAAGTTGAATTGCGAAGGGCTTTGGAGCTGCTTCGTCAGCCATGCGAAGCTGCGGATTTGTTGAGCGAGGGAGACGGCGGAGGGGGTACACTGACAATTTTCTTCGAAGTAAAGAGGCTCGCTGCTCGCTGATAGTGCGCGTCGCACGCTCGGCATGGCGATGGCGCACAGCACGAGCGGCCACGAGCAGTAGCACTCTTCTCTCTCCGCCGCTGCGTTTGCGATGCGCACCCACACGTCGGCGGGTACGTCGCTCAGGTCCGCGTAACGAATCTCCGCCTCGGGCGGCGGGGTGATGAATGACGGCTCTTCCTCTACTCGTTCCTCCTCCTCCCCTTGCTCAGCCTCCACGGCCACCTTTCCTACTCCCTCCTCCTCCTGCTCACATATCCTAGTATTTTTCCTCGACGCCATCCTGCTAATGCTCTTCTCCAGCGACCGGTATCCTCGCCACCAGCTGCGTCACAGCAGCAATGTATGTCAACAATAGCTTTTATGGCTAAAGTGGGGTCAAACAGTTCTTACTTTCTGAGCTGGGAAGGATACCCGTCAAATAAAGTGCGACGACTGCTTGAAGCGAAAGGAGCTGACTGATAATTTCGCGCCAGGGCAGAGAGTGTGACTCCCTGCGACGCTGAATGTGCAATTCGCGATTGCCAATCGCAGTCGCGTCCAAGTGCTGCTGCTCACGGCAGACCGGAGTGGCTCGCTAGTGTTTGTGGTGGCATGGGAAAGGACATCAACATGTTACCGGTACAAAAGCATTGTTATCTTTAGAATTTACGGTATGTGTAGGTGCTCTCTCAACCTACCGTTTGTGCTCCAAAAAAAAAAAAAATCAGAAACACAAATGCTGAGACAAATGCGGTTTCCTAAATATTTCATTTTCAGTACGTTCAAACAGTTTAACAACAAAGCAAAGTTGCATTCAGTAGTCCAGTGCACCTAATCCACGATCCCTCTCTCTTTTAAGAACCTACTTTTGCTCGTCCAACACAGGCCTGCACTTCCACCCACTTCCGTACTCAACCCTTCAGCAGCATCCAGTCTGTACAACACGCATTCACCATCGTCCCACCCCTCAAACCGCTGCAAGCCCTTGCATTTAGGTAGCAATAGATCCAATAGATTCCTACCTTCACCCTGAACCATATCCCTTCTTCCATCCTCCTGGGGCCCATCGGCCCCTGCCGACCTCGAACAACCTCTTGTTCCCATGCCCACCTCATCTCGGCTTCTCGACGTGCCCTCTCCTGCATGCCTGCTTTCCAAACTTTCTCCCTCATTATTCTTTCTCAGCTCACTCGTGAAAAGCTCCACGACGTCAATCCCAATGCTATCGAAAAAAAGACCCTCCACGCCACACGGCCAGAGCACACCCGAGCGGAGCAAAAACAGAGGCGCAGGGCCCGGCAACACGGCATGGAAGCAACGCAGGCCGTGCCAAGCACGCAGGTCCAGCGGAAAAACCACAAGTTCCCTCCACTCAAGGGCCTTCACTGTCGCCAGTACACCGGGAGGGAAACAAGCAGCCTGCTCTGGCTGCATGTTGGTGCAGAGGGATTCAAGCGAGGTGAGGTGAGGCGTGTGCAACGGCCACTGGGAGGGCCGGTCGCTGCGAAGGAAGAGAGATGTCAGATGCGCGGGGCAGGAGGGGAGCAGGTGCAGGCGGGAGCGGCGGGACTTCCAGAGAAAGCCGAGTGTGGAGAGACGCGGGGCGGAGAGGGAAATGGAGCACTTGATCCCATGAAATCTTACACTAGTGGCTAGCGGGAGGTGAAGAGAGTACGAATCTCGTCCGTCCATGTCCCCCTCACGCCCCCCCCCGCCCTTCCGCGTTGTCACCGCTTCATCACCAAAAAGTGTCGGTCCGAAATGCAGCCGGCCAGCTAGGTGGTCCACATTGTGTCATTTGACCCCCCAAAAGTGTCCAAAAAGAGTCTTCACCCAAAATTGAAGGGTCTAAAAATGTCCGAAAATTAGCCAAAACGCGAAGTATCCGGAATCTGTCCAAGAAGTCTCCGATTCATGTTACTATGCAGAAGGTCGGGGATCGATGCTTGCCTGGTGCACTATACCGAACACAAAATTGTTAGATTAGGAAAGAAAACGAACACTCCCAATTATAAGTTGCTTTTTACTAGCTAGAATCGATCTCGCGATCTCCCAATCGCACGCGCGATTCGTAACCACTACGCTAACTCGGTTGTAAACCAAGCAAGTTGGTTCAATTAAACTCAAAATCCAATCAAAAACTCCTTCGCAACATGTTGACACCTGTTGCCAGGGTTGCCACCTGTCACACCACCTGCCACACAAACGCCTTCCTGTGCAGGTTAGGCTCGGAAAACATTAGCCACAGCTACCTACACACCTTACCAAACTCATCCCCCAACCACTCTCGACTTGTCCATCCCTTTCAGATCTAGATGCTCCATTTTTTAAACTGAGCTTTTCACTCGAGCATTTCTTGCCCAACATTTGTTCGCACGATCTGTTTTGGTTAGCCTAGCACTACGACTTTTGTAGAACCAATCTAGCTTTGCGGATGTTATACATTTAGGTTTATAAATCCAGTTTCTGCTTTTCTATGCAACAATGTCATGGTGTTCATCGCTTGCTGAGATGTGCGCGGTCCTACGTTTTTTATTCATTCATACAACCAGAATAACGCATTCCATGACGTCGTTTACTTATACCGCTCCTATTTCCAATATCTATCTATCCCCAGTGCAGCATTTGACGGTCTTCTTTTTACGTAACAAGTTATTCAACTTCGGGCGCTGCTAAGGAGCGCTACGGGCACTGCTAAGGAGCGCGATGGGCGCTGCTAAGGAGCGAGACTGACGCTGCTACGGCGGGTGCTGCTAAGAGACGAGATGGGTGCAACTAAGTGCTCGACGGGCGCTGCTAATGCGGCTGCTGCTTAGAGGCGCGATGAAGAGCGGTAATTACATTGTTTAATTCAATATGAACCTGTGTGTTAACGGTTGCTAATCATCGCTTACCTTCTGATGTTTGTTTCAGTTGCATTTGGTGAAGATTTCCTTCATAGAGGGTGAATGTGTCATCACGCAGGTCGGTTTGTTTGATTCAATGTTGGCATTTTTTATGGTTAGCGACTTATACGTACATACAAGCTTCACGTTGATTTCGCGGTTTTGTTTGTTTCCTCCCCTTTGAAAGTGCTCGCAATCTGAAGGTTTTGTTTAATATTTCACAGCCGCCATTTAGTTCTCTATCACTAAGGTACGCGTCGGGCGCTGCTTTGTCAGGACGCTGCAAAGGGTCGTGACGGGTGCTGCTTACCCTGTTGCTGGTAAGAGGCCCCATCAAAGGTGGTGCTCAATTTGCTTAATGATTTGTTGATATAGCCAGTGTGTCTTGTACTTATTGGTTTTTCTTGTATTCAGAGATGTATTAATCACCGTGTAAATGGAGATGTTTGTTTCAATCGTTTCTGGTGACTATTTTCAACCTTGTTGGACAATGTGTCATCAGTCACCACGGTTTGTACGTTTTAGTATAAGCAATTTTGTAGTTATTATTTTTTGGAATGGACCTTGTGGCTCATTCAATATTGTTCTTCAATCCGTGCAGGTTATTTTTCTTTTAAGCATTAACTAATGGGGGTTCGTATATTTATCTGGCAATGCATTATTTAGTTTCTAGCAGTTTGTATAAGTAGAAATGCCTTTGCATGTTCTTTATTAAAAATCATGTAAACAATGGTTGGGTATAAATTTTATTGGTAAAACGCATCTTAGTATATCGGGTACGTGATGTACACATATTGCCTTCGCTTTTCGTATTGTCCAAATGGACTCTTCGCGGACTCTTTGGTCGGACCTAAAACAGACTCCGGAATGTAGCAGGCCTTGGTCCAAAAAGTCTCTTTTTCTGCACGTCCGGAATCCGTCCAGAAAGAGTCCGTTCGGACTCTTGGGGACAACTTTGGGACGCTGGAAAATGGAGATGTTTCAGCACCCTCTCTGCCCTCCTGAGCCGCGAAATGATCTGCAGCGTGTTGGCTACTATTAGCCCTTAGACCAATCTATGCGCACCACTTAAGTCACACTATGTGACCTCCACCGGGCCTCGTCCTCGGGTCCACGGTTCTCCGAGTGTGTACGCACTAAAGTAGTCACACGACAAATTGCGCAGCGTCTTGTTGCTCACTTGTCACGTCTCCACAATACTCTTCACGTTAATACGATGAAAGAGGAACCTTTTCTCATGAATGAATATCAGAGGTTTTCAAAAGGTTGATAACAAGCAAGGACAAGCAAAGACTTATACTAACCCACCGAAATCTAAAGCAAACAGCCCACCAAAAGAGTAGCTGGAAACATACTTCGGATTGCCAGCTTTCACCATGCGAAATCCTTGGCAACATACTCGCCCTCACTTAATTATCCTCACCATGCGAAATCCTTGGCAACATACTCGCCCTCGCGAACGCTCGTGGACTCTCGTGGACATTCGTGGCGACAGCTCGTGACAGCTCACGGAATCTCGCAGTTACGCGACGAAATCACGAAATGGTCGAATTCCTCCTCGCAATTTTCGCATCAGCTTCGAAGTGACTCGCGCAGCTCGCCAAGCATCTCGGCGAAGTTTTCCTCTCGAAGAATCAAGACAAAATGCTCGTGGATCCAGCAAAATCTCGCTGGCCCCACAAGGCACTCTCGAAATCCAGCCTTGACCCACGTTTTCTCGGCTTTTACCCTCGCGCCACCTGCACACCCCACATGCGCGCGTGTGGCGAATCCACCTGCAGCCTCAGGCCTCGCGTGCGCACATGCTGGCACACTCCTAAGATTGCGCCACAATCACAACAGTGCTCGGCACCCTTTACCAAACCTTGACCAACCTTGTTAAAAGCGAAATTCTCTTAACTCCCATAAACAAACACGAAAAACAAAAGCACTAACAAAAACATATTAAAACGCACCTCACAAACTTGATCAGAAAACTCACTAACTCACACGGAATTTCACGAACACTTCATGAAACAGACTCACGAACATTCACGACACTCACACGAAAACTCGTGACGCGCAGAACACACGAAATAACACGAACGCATATGAAATCTCGGAACTCACACATAACACGAAAACACACGAACATTCACGGACTTCGGAACTCACGAAATAACAAGAACAGACACGAACACACATGAACTCTCACAAACACAAACCTTCACGAAAATGCACATAACTCATGAACCGCTGAGGCGATTCACGAACCGTAAACACTCACACGTACAGCAAACAAACCCGCACCTCATGAAACACAAATTACCTTAACTCCAGGATTTACCATCAGTCGTGTGTGGTTGTTACGAACCACTCCAACACAGCGCCGAGTGAGAGATATTGAAGCTGGGCAGAGAGGCAGGAGACGAAGCGGAGGATGAGAGGCGAGCAGGCGGGGAGGTCGAGATCGAGGCGGCGCAGCACGGGAAATGGTCTGTCCGTGTCATCCGGCTTCTTCTCCTCTATGACTGAAATGATTTCCCACATTTCGGCCACCAGCACTGCGTCGTTGCAATGGAGTCGTGGAATGCCGCGGTCGCTGTCCGAAGCAACGCCATGCTTAATGAGAAGCGACTCGAGATGCGGCGCTTGCGAGAGGGATAAGAGAAGGCGTGGATCGGAGGGGAGGCTTCGGGAGAGGTAAAGATCGAGGGAGGTGATTGTGGAGAGGCAAGGGAACAAGCAAGAGCGCAGGAGGGAGGAAAAAAGGCGGGGAGGCGCTTCAGTGAGAGAGTAAATAAACTGGGAGGGACTTGGGTGCTGGTTGCACAGCCATGCAAAGCTGCGGATTCGTTGAGCGAGGGAGACGGTGGAGGGCGGGCACTGGCATTCTTCATAGAACACGAGAGACGTGTCGCAGCCTGATAGAGCGCGTCGCACGCACGGCATGGTGATGGCGCACGACACGAGCGGCCACGAGCAGCAACACTCTCCTCTCTTCATCACCATATTTGCGATGCGCACCCACACGTCCGCGGGTACGGCGTTCAGGTTTGCGGAACGAACCTCCGCCACGGGCTGGCTGTCGACAACTCGGCGCGCCTCTGCCGCGCGCACTCCGCATTTCGATCGGTTTGCGCGCGGAGGGGTGACGAAGGACGGCTCATTCTGTACTCGTTCCCCCTCCTCCCCTTGCTCAGCCTCCACTTCAGCCTCCACTCCCACCCCTCCTACCTCCTCCTCCTGCTCACACATACCAAAATTGCAAAAGTTGGGTTTGGCCTAGCGGGCAAGGAAGTGGGTACTTCGAAGCCAGGCTCGGAGTAGCTACGTTCTCAATGCAATGAATCCACATGCAATTTCGTAAGGCCCTGTATGTACCTCGCATGCCGAGCCTAACACCCACCAGACTGAATACAATGTTGCTGGCGAGGGAACATTTACAAACCAGACACATCGGCCAATGAGTGCATCCCGTACGAAACGCGCAACAAGGGTTGAAGCTCCACCCACCTACAGGTAATGCTCACCTCCTGCACGTGAAATTGCCCTGCACCTATTAGATGCCCTGCCCGCGTTGACGACGTGCCCTAGAGGTTGCACCCCAGGTATAAGCCCCCCAACCAACTTGCCGCAAGTTTCGTAAACTCCAAAACACCTGAACAGTAGCATAAAACAGACCCAGTCAACCAGAGTCTGCCGTGTTCCTTGGCCAGAGACAAACATCGCGAAATGACAGGCTCAAACTCCGCCAACGTCGCAATTCACTTCGCGCATGACTGGGTGCCACGTGGGGAGGTTCATGGTGCGTATAACACATCTTAGGAGAGGTGCATCGATGTGACGTGTACCATGCACCTGCTCGGTATAAACCCAATGACGACCAAGCGTTGTTCAAAACGCACACGTCACAAATAGTGGTTGTGGTAACACCCCCCCTTTTGCCACAAATCAAGGCCCCCTACATGCAAACTTCCTAACAATGGGTCAACCAAATTCCCGTTGCAAACGCACCGTCGTACCCATGCTCCAGCACATCGCAACACTTCAAAAACCATAGCTTTCTCCCACAACATTCATTCACTCCCGCATGCTATTCCAGCATGCCTCGCCTCTACCACCGCAGCCAGTTAGCTGTGCACATCAAGCGGGCGATATGCGCCCACCATGTCGCCAATCCGCAGCTGCGCCACGTCGACCTCAGCCGCTGGTGCTTCACCCGCTTCGGCATCAGGCCTGATCGCAGCACGATTGGCCGCGTGCTGAAGGCGTCCGAGCGTTGGGCACGCCCTGCATCGGACAACAACCTTGTCCGAGTGCGCGGCGGAGCCCATCCTGAACTCGAGCGCGCAATGGCGCGCTGGATCGCCAATGCAGGCCCGGCTGGTGTGCCGCTGACCTTGGCGACGATCCGCGAGCATGTCGCCAACATGGCTCGCGGCATGTCGCTGCCGCCTACCTTCCGCTGCTCTATTGGATGGGTCCGTCGTGCCTTGCGCCGCCAGGGTGTAAGGTGCATTGCGGCTTGTGGCGAGGCGGCCGACCAGGACCTCGCCGCCGTCCGTACGACTCAGGAAAAGCTGCCGCAGCTCCTCATGTATCTCTCTGTCAGGCCGCGCGACACCTACAATTTCGACGAAACCGCCGTCTACATTTCGGTGCTGCCTCGCAAGACGTACGGCGCCAGCCGTGTGGCGGGGAGGAAGGAGGTCAAAGACCGCCTCACCATCGGCTTCCTTGTCAACGCCGACGGCACTCACTCCTTCCGCCCGTTGGTGATCTCCAAGGCTAGGCGTCCCCACGACTTCCGCCCCAACTTCGACCCGGAGGAATTTTGCTACTGGCGCAACACCGCCAAGGGGTGGATGACCTCACCGGTGAGTTTTAATTTGTTGATTCTTTCCCGTGTTCAAACACAAGCCTCGGTTTCAAGAAAATGAGTACTAACTCCTTACACCACTGTCACACCCGACTCCCATGGCAGCTTTTCACGCTCTTCATTGAGCAGCTGAACGCCACCATGTATGCCGAGGATCGGCACATCGTCATTCTGCTCGACAACGCGAGCAGCCACGTCCTCACCTCCCGCGGTGCGACATCCGAGGATCTCTTTGGATTCCGCACGCGCTCGCTCTCGAACGTCCGCCTGGTGTATCTCCCTCCCAACACCACCTGCTTCACCCAGCCCTCGATCAGGGGCTCATCGCGATGGCGAAGGCGCGCTACCGGCAGCATTGGCTCCGTGCCTTCACCGCTCGCTGGAATGCCGATGGCGCAACTACCCGCCTGGCGCGCTTCAAGCCCAATCTCCGCGACGTCGTGGCCTGGCTCAACGACGCGTGGATGAATATCGAGCACCGCACTATTCAGAGGTGCTGGTGGCGCACCGGCATCCTCCCGCGTGCGTGGGCAATGGAGCTTGCTCACGTGGGCGACGACACCGCTGGAGCGGGCACGGCCGCGGACATCGGGCTTGACGAGGAGATCGGGGACGTAGGCATCCTCATCGATCGCCTCGGACTCGGCACGAGCGCCATGCCGGCCGCGAAACTGGTTGCCATCAACGACAACCAGCCGACATGCGCGGAGCCGGGAGAGGATCCGCTCGCGACCGAGCCACCGCGCGGCACCTCCGCTGAGACGTGGGAGGCCCCCGCCACCATGCAAGCTGTCTATGACGACAGCAACCCCGAGTCCCGCGAGGCACGGCGCTACGCTCGAGCGGCCTCCGAGATGCTTATTGGCTACGCGAAGGCGACATGCATCACCCCGCGCGACCTGTGCGCGCTCTTTGACATCCACAACCCCATCATCAGGGCGCGGATGGAGCGCGCCAGCCCGCCGATTAACCTCAACATGAGCCCCCCGCCATCCGCGGCTGAGTGCGCGACGCCCCCGGCCGAGACACCTCGTCGCCGTGGCCGCGTCCTGCCCGCGTGGATGACGGAGCCCACCCCATCGTGGGTGACTCTTGCCCAGCAGGCCGCGCGCCGCCAGGAGCTGATTGACGGTGGTGCGCCGGCCGTCATGGGAGGTTACATGGCAGCAGCCGAGTGGATGCGCCTGTGAAGGGGTTGGATTCCCCTCACGAGGAGTTTGAATCTCCTCCCTGGTGAAATGTGCACGTCTTGTGCACATTTCACCGTTCTGAAATTGTTGACGGGGAAATAGCACGAGTACAAGTGGGTGGATTTCATTGGTTTGTGGGTTGGTGTTGGTGTTTGTCACAAACTGTGTGAAGTTGTGTACTCGTTTGCTATAGTGGACATGAGAAAAGAGTGGTAACCGCGCAACTTACAACCAACAAAACTGGCCGCCCGTTACTGTTTGGGAAAAAACAAACTTGTAACCTGTTTTTTTTTAAAGCACCTTATGGCTGCGGCGAAAACCGGCGAACAAGGCGAATAGACTAAACCACTTATAAGCCCAGAGCACAAGGCAAAGTAGGGTGCGCCAAACGAGCATTACCTGTACAAAGGGACCACAATGACCCTACCCTGCCTGAACAGTCAACTTTTCTCGATATTGTCAGTTCAGCGTGCACATCTTTTGCGACCCTGTCTGACCAAATTACTGTTACAATCTTTTAGAATCCCTTTTTTGCCACCGGCTCATTTGACACAATTAGTGACGCTTTGTCAGTACGACAGGCTGTAAACCCGAACGACCAATAAAAAATACGTTTGGTTTTCCAATCACAAGTATAAAACTGTGAGCCGTCGATTGTGATCTTCGACGGTTTAGATTGATTTTACCAATTTGTACAGGCTGGATTTTCCACCGTCGATCAGAAGCACATCGGACGGTATCGATCAGAGGTCTGTTAGGTAAGGTTGGAATTAACACCGTCGATCTCTAAGTTATTGAATGGTCGGGATCTCGCTTGGCTTCTCTCAAACCATTTCATGAGATAGGTGAGCTCAAAAGGGTTGGGATATCAACCGTTGATCTTCATCTTTTGATGGCTAAGATCGAGAGATGCAGAAGATAAGTCTCTATGGCTTCCGATTGGTTCAAACACAGATTTCGGGTGAGGCCACCACATATAACTGAGCAGCTCCAACAACCAACCAGCTCATTTCCTCCTTCCATTCCGTTCAGAGCTCTGTTTCAATCCTTGCTCTTCAGTTTCGCCTGCCACACCACCCTCTTGTTCGTGTTTTAGCTTGGGAATCTTCAGCGCTACTAATTTATTTTCCTCGTTTGCATCTACCTTATCACACGACAGAAGGCGATATTGGCGTGGCGAGATCGGCGTGGCGATTTGGGCGTGGCGATGTTGGCGTGGCGGTGTTGGCGTGGCGGTGTTGGCGTGGCGGTGTTGGCGTGGCGGTGTTGGCGTGGCGATTTCAGCGCGGCGAGATGGGCGTGGCGAGATGGGCGCGGCGATATGGGCGATGGCGTGCGGGCTGCGGCAGCGTTGTTACAAAAGTACTTTGCTTAGTTTCTGTTGTCTGGTCTCCAAATACTAACGGTGTATGAACGTGTCGCGGTTTTGCAGGCTACAACTTTTTCTGTGCAGAATGTGCTGTTATATTTTTTTATCATCAACTCCATCCAGTATTGGCAGTTATTGGACCCTGGTACGTTCTTGGAGCTCTCTAAGTGTTGATTATTGACTCTTGTTTTGCTTGGGTATGTTTATCGTTTGCAGCTGCAAGACCGTAGTAGGGACATCCCACGTGAATATTATACGTACTTAGCGTTTGCTAGCTATGTATGCGTAGGATGTCTATTTGTATGGTTGTATAATTTTATGCGAGTTCTCTGAGTTTTAACAAGCAAGTGTTCGTAACCTGGAATCGTAAATCAAATGCAATAAATGAGGCCAGAATTTGCTGCCTAAGCACTTGGCATGTACAATGTACCTACTCTATGCGTGCTCAGGAAGTGGTTTCAGAGTAAATTTATTCTGTCGACTATATGGTTACTATATATTTATCGGAGTATGTACTATGTGGTTACCCTATTGCCACCCCATATCAGGCTTCGAAGTAAAATGTTTGTAGCAGAACCTATAAGTACATTGTAGCCGAATGCACTGTAGGTACATCGAACATCCGAAGCAGCTACGGGGTGACTACAATGTAGCTCCAGCGGTGTTTTTTGGGATGCATAACCTAGTCTTCCTCCTCAACTTCATGCTGCTCTGTGCTCTTCTCCACATCCCAAAACATTTTCAGGGGGGGTTGGGGTACCAAACCACGAGATGGCTACTACGTACCCACGTCTGTGGTATGTGTTGTGTACGTGTGCAGACAATACATAATATTAGGCCACCCTAGGACGAACTACACATGCAGAGCCCACCAAGCGATACAGTAGAGTCAATGTAGATCGATGAGGGTGAGTACTATGAAAAGGGTTGGCCTGCCGATGACGTGCACAATGATCAGGCCTAAATTGTTGGGAGGCTTGTAAGCCCACAGAGAACCTACCACGCACATACAACCAACGACCGATGTTGGGATTATTCCCGATACACTCCGACGTATAATGGCTCAAAATTGCACAAATGTTCCTCTCGCCCTGTTGTGTTTCGACACAAACAGTCACTGATACCGTCGATTTTGGTTCGCTAAAACTGAAAACCCGCTACACGACGACAAAGGCCAGGCTACACTGGTACCAAAAATACAGGGCCGTCGATCATGACAGTGGCAATGGTGGATCGATTTAGATAACGGGCTCTGAATCCGAGCAGCTTACCAAGTTTACGGCATCGCCCCTATAGTGCATGACCCATTTTCTGAGTTCATCACTGAATATCAAAATGTACACCGTGGGAAACACAACACTAGCTGCGTAACACCCATGTAATTGCCAGCCCTCATTTTCAGAATGTCATCCATACATACTACCTCTACCCCCCCTTGTCATGCAGCAGGCAAGGCAATGTTTGATAAACAGTGCCGCAGCTGCCAAAGTGCACGGGACCCGCTATTTTCAGCGCAAAGGAGAACGTTTGAAGTTCATACAGCCACCCATTCTGTCGCTTATGCACACGCACGCATACAACTGTCTAACGTAAAATGTTCACATGACATATCTGTTGACATAGTAGTCCTCATCAGAAACGAAGGACTGCACGACATGAACCACCTCCACTATGGCTTCCACGGGAGCCACCAAGTAACATGCTGGGTCTGTCACAGGCGCGCGCAATCTGTATGCATCTGCACCCGTATCCTCGTCCACCCTGTGCTTGTGCAGCACCAGTGTAAACGCAAACCCTGGCTCGCTAACTCCCTGGGCCTTGAACAGCACCAAAACCTTTCCCAGCAGTTGCTCACCCGCCACCTTCAAGAACACAAACGAGAAGCAGGGCTTCCCGTGGAAGCTTGGTGCGACCCGCACCCACGCAGATGGTTCTGTGACAGCAACGGCTGAGTGCACCTGCAGACAAGGGTGGGAGTGTTTAGGGTAACAGCATATGCGTAAGAGCGGATCGGAAGAACATGGGTGACCAGAGCAATACACACTTGAATCAACCCACCTGAATGGACTGGTATGTTATCCCAGCCTGCCTCAACGCTGTCCCAAAGTGGGGCATGCACCCGGGCAACGCTCTGTCAAACGCCAGCCATGGGTCCAGGGGCCGACGCACCCCACCCTCGGGAGCTTCAATCGTCATTGGTGAGCTTGTGCGTGTCATCACGGGCAAACCCGTGAGTAGTGCCTGCACGGGAAGATACATGTGGTGAGTCCACGCAGGACACATAGAAAGGCATGCATCACACAACAAGTGAAACAAGAGAGATCTAGACACGTGGACTGCAGTACCATCATGGAGGTTCTCCTACCTGTGCCATTGGACTTGTGTAGTTGCGGTTAGACTGCAGGAGGTTGGGAAGGGAGCGCATAGCCCGTCTGATGTCATCGGCGATTATGATTGCACGCGCAATCTGTCGCCGGTTAGAAGATCGATATGGGCGCTTCACAAGTCCCACGTGGCTATGCTCGAAGAGGTTAGTTGAGTACTCCTACAGTACCCCGCGTGTTTCAATAGCATATGGCAGATGGGTGAGAGCATGTACTTTCACAAGCTTCCACCCTGACGCTTGCATTGGAAACTCGCGTTTCAATAGCGCCATCATACTGTTTGTGCACACGACATGTACACACCAAACCGTTACAGTTAGCCCGTTGAGTTGGCGTTGAAACGATATCATTCAGGGTTTGTTAAACACGCCACATCAACCGTGTGTCTCTTACTTTTGTTGCAGCCGGACGACCTCCTTGATCGTGGCCTTGGTCTGCTCTGGCACTCTGAAGCACGCTGAATACCACTTTAGGAAACTCATGATGGCTTCCATCTGTGCCGCTGTGAGAATACCCTCAAAAATAAACACAGCAACCTGCATCATTGCGCGGTGCTCGGCAGCAGCGTAGTTGGCACCACCCCGGAAGTATTTGCCGGGTTTTGGCAGTTTAATTCCGGCTGCACGCGCCAGGCAGTACAGTCTTTCATGTCGCCTGTGAGCATGCATGACACACACCAGGTTAGTATGTAGTCAGGGAAAGACACACACTATGTACCACGCGGAGACACCTACCAGTCCATGACAGCCAGGACGCCCGGGGAGTTTGTCTCACGCATCTGCTCCAACACATGCTTCCACAGCCCTATGTCAACCACATGTAAAACGTCCGGAAAAATACACCCATAGGGGTTTCCCCATGCAGTCCACGCAAAGTTCCACCTCCATAGAAAACACTGCACATAGGGTGTACCTGAGTCAAGTGCTGGGCAAACGCGTTTGCAAACCAAAAACCCCACGTAAAGCATGCATACGTAGCTCCACCCTATGAGTCCCAATGGCCTTGCACTCCCTCCTGTCGGCCAATGCCTGCCGCTGCCCTTCCGGTGTGCGCGTATCAAACAATGAATCCATGGCGTTTAAGTACTCCTGCGGTACCTTGCACATTGAACACCGCATCGTGGCAGTCACTTTGCATCCCTTGGGGAAATCACACACGTAGGCATACAGAAGGGGGTACACAATGCGGCTCACCCCATGTGGATCATTCATCCCGGCCCCCCTGGTTCAGTTCAGGGACGATTGTTAGTGGATTCGAGACGGAAGTGGGGTTGCAGCAATTCACAGCGTTACATGGTTCACATGCACACGCATTACAAGATGCTTACGGGTACGACGCGTCGATCAATGGTGCAAATACTATCTCGAGGCACTTGTTAAACAACCGCGTCTTCACCACGGGTGGGAGGTCCACGTCTGGCAGTGGTAACAAAGCTACCAGCTGTCGAGCAGTATCTTTCCAGCGTAGCTCACGTGGAATGTTTGCAACAGATATTTGCAGAGGCCACACTTTCTGCCGTCCGTTGTGACTCAGGTGCGTAACATCGCTGCTAGCAATTAGGGCCGCGACTACACCCTCTTTGTTAAGCAGTTTTCGCTGCAAAAAATGTGCATGGATGCTGTGAGTAACTATGAATCAGGGGAGAAGACAAGTATCTTACCGTGACCAGAAGCGTTGGATGTGAGGGATGGATGGCGCACCTGTGCACGGGACCACCAGCGTCCTGTTTCAGGTCGTGAGTAGACGCGCTTCCCGGCAGCATTGAGTTTGGGGTCTGGTCGCAACTGGAAGTTTGTGGCGTTCTTGGGATCTTCAAATATTGTCCGAAGCGCCTGCACATGTGAACATGGTGAGCATCAGTCATGAGCACCTCCTCTAAACCATATGAACTATGAAACGCGGGATGCGATCAAGCTAAACGTACCTCGAGTGTGTCACAGTACTCCAATTCCACAGGGTCGGCCATCCCTTCCACCTGCACCATGATCTTCATCCATGTCACATGATGGCGACCCAATGTTATCTCCGCGAATTTGTCCACATCCCGGGAACCCTTCCAAGTTGCTACCTCTGATGCCTTGAACTGTGGATGATTTATAAGCCTGAAGAACGCCTTAGTTTCGTCTCCGGTCATCCCCGCTCCGTTCCTGAAGGACTTGACGAACCGATATACCTCCCTGCACGTATCAAATTCATTAACCAGCCGATCTGCGATAGCTGCCGCCTCAGCACTGTCGATCGCTTGTGTCGGACGACTGTCCTGTCAGGGAGATGCAGTGTGACATGGTCGACTCGGGCCGTCATCGCCCTGCTCGCCGGTGCCTCCGATTTCCGCATGGGTCGATTGCGACCTCGGCCTAGGCAGTGGCACAGCGTCTTCGCATGCCGCCTGCTGCCGCGTATGAAGACCGAATGCAGTGCTGTGCGCAAATGGGCGCTCGCAATTACCGCAATATACCACGGCCGCTAGAAGTACAGGGAGGATTAACGAGGTTAGAAACATGGCGACGACAAAGCCCCGCTGCCTGAGTGGAGCCATAGACGTAACGGAGGAGCGCATGGCATCAGTCGTTGAAGCAACGAGCTAAATAGTGCAGGGTGATGGCTCACAAGCTCACGCGATTTGGAGGAGCTATCTAGGGATTGATTCAGCTAAGCATGACGGTGGGTTCCCAAGGGGACCTCGAGATCCAACTGAGTTGTACATACGGTCTTGGTTGTTGTTCGTGATTCAGTTGAGGGCTCTCAGGGTTCTCACATAGCAGCACCAATCGGTTGGCGGTACAATCTTATGACGGATACTTCACACGGGTAGTGTCGTATACTCGTTTCAGAGTTGGTGTCTCTGGTTCGGAAGTTGTTTGCACAAATTTCTGATAACAACTTGCGTTTTAAAATTAAGCAAACAAAAGTACACATATATACTCGTGCACCAATGAAACCCAAAAACGGCCAACCACACGTGCCTCGTTAGAGCTGCTACCAGCAAGACTGACTCTAAAGATCAACTACCCATGCAAATAGCTTAATGAAACTGCCATGGCAGTTGGGAGATAAGTCTGTGCGCATGCCTCTAGAACAACGAAACCAACCATCGTAAACTGCATGGTTGTCCCTGCACCGCTTGCAAGGCATCAGCACCTCTGCAAACTTCATGAACGCGTCCCAGCGATCGAAAGTGCAGTGCACGCCGCCGTGTGCGACGACAGCTCCCTCGCCGACTGCATCATTGTCACAACATACCAACGGTCATGTGTACTTCGTAAGCTAATGACGACGTGCAATAAAAGAATAAAATGGAAAACACCCCTTTCTAGATCACAGATCATACGTACTGTCGCGTCGACGGTGACGGCACTCGCCAAAGGTGCATTCATCCAGCGAGTTGACAGGAAGCTTCTTAGGTGTCTGGCGAACGCGCTTGGGAAGGACGATGTCCTCTGGCTCTGTCCTGGTGGGGCGGCGAAGATTATCGCGCGGACGGTTAGAAGGCTTGGGCGCCGGATCCTGCGCCGGCTTAAAACTCGACGAGAAGACGCTCTTTCGACGCGGTACACCATGCATGCCAAAGCAAGCGAACAACGGGTCCTCGCTCTCAGGTGACGCCCAGCGGTTCTCGTCGTTCTTGTCCGGTTCCTCGTCGTTACCGGCCACCCCATCGGCAACGGGTTGCGAATCATCTACAATCTCGGGCTTGGCGGAGTTTCGGGGCGCTTCCATCTCTGGAATCGTATGAGGCGCGTTACTGAGTGCTAACTAACCAGGAAGCAGAGTGTTGCGTCAAATGAATGAGACGCTGATGTCGCGCAGTCTGAGCCTCTTTCAGCCCCTAACATACACTGGCGAGATGCTACCGTATAGGGCGAGAGGTTGGGAACAGGCTCTGTTGCCAATAGTTGGAATTGAGACCGTAGATGTGCCACTCTGGCTTTTCGTGACCGTGGATATGCAAGTTAGACAATGCATGCTTAGATCCTCGGTCCGCGCTGCTCTTATCAACGGTGCCCGTTGATCCCCAGGATTGCACCAATCATATTGATTCAGTGCATAATCAATACAGTGATGTGTTTGTGATTGGGTGTTGATGTTGAGCCCCCTCACACCGATGTTCTGGCGAAATATTGAGAAGAAACACTACGCACCGAGTACAGTGATGGATTTGGTTTGCTTTGCTACGCCTATGCGAAACGCATTAGAGCCTGAACACGTCGAATCAAAGTACTGTACCGCACTGCACCGACATCATATTGATGGGTTCACCGTTTGAACGACAAAGCCGGAACCTCTCCACTCCACCGACTTTGTGAGTGTGCGTACCGTAATGCACACTTCAACTCCTCCTAGTAACGAACTGTAACTCTCTGCACCGTATACAGTGATGGGTTCGAGGTTGCTAGATCGGAAACCTCGACACGCCGACTGTGATATAACGTACCGAAACGCTCTACACCGTAATGTGGTTTCAGATGACACCTTCACACCGCGTGATGTTCAATCACCTATCAGGCTGTTGGGACACACAGCCCCAACCACCCTTAGGCGTGAAAATTCTTCGCGCTACAAATACGCATGCATCCACTGCCTGTGCACTCCACCTTTCCACTAGCTCGGTTTCTATCTATACGCTATGGCCACTCAGCAGGGTGACGGTGACGCGAACACAGGGCAAGCGGGGTAGCGGCCCCGTCTGCGGAACACCCTGTTCCCGTTGTCCAAGTGGGAGAGTGGCCTCGCACGTGGTGCTCGGCAGGGTTGCGCTGGGGATACCGGAACGAGGACCCTGAACATGACGGAACGCGAGCATAATGAATGGCTGCAGTATGTGGCGCGGCGCACGACGACCCGTACCAACCCGCACGCGGCCGAGCAGGAAGACGATTACGGTTAGTACGCGTATTTTTTAGCTGTCCAACGTGCATAGGTGTCTGCCCGACGTCTCCTTCTCTGATGATTATTCACAACTCGCCGTGGCAGATGATATTGAGCAGGACGAAGACGATGTGGATGCTGCCATAGGCAACGCAGGAGCGGGTAGCGGGGCAACCACGGTGACGAATGCTCCACCCGTGAGGCCGAAGCTGGGTGTGGTTAGGAACGGTAAGAGTGCGTGGTATGCATCTGCGCTTTTTCAAACATAGCATCCATATTTCTACTCTACTGCCCTCGTATTAGCATCCAGTTTGTATCCGTGAAACAGGGAAGAAAGGCGCGCAAGGTGCCACGGGGCAAAAAGGGTTCAGCCAGCAGTCCGTGCGTCAGCCTGCCGGAAACGATGACACTGCTTCAGGTAGGCGGCGTGTGCAAGTCAAAAGTTCAGTTGCCTGTGGCTCGCGTTTTCCAGGACCATCATTTTGGCCATCAACTTATGCAACTCTGTTTGGTGAATCTTGCAGGGCGCGTCGGTGATGTCAACAGGCTGAGTGGGAGGGGAGCGTATGTTGATGGTGCCCCCGAGACCCCAAGGTCCCTGCGCGACTACGGCTGGGATGCAGCAGAGGATGATGGAATCGGTGACGCTGTGAGGGCGCTTCAGTCACAGGTTGGAGACATGAAGCGCGCCCTACTGGACTCAAACGAAGCCATCAAGGCCCTCAATGCCTTGGTGCAGAAGAGCCTGGACCTGCAGCAGGAGGTGCACTCCACGCTGGCGTCTCTGCAGGCCTCGGGGCTACCCACTGCCCCAGCTGTGCCGAACAATGGGGGTGGCAGCGGCGCCTGCGGAGGAAGTGGTTCCGGCTCCAACGACACGGAGGATGCAACACACGCCTCTGAGCTGAAGCGCGCGGTCGCAACTATCATGGAGCCAGCGAGACTCTCGGTAAGACCTTGCCCTTAGTACACCCCGGTTTGATAATACCCGCCACTGCTTTTCTGGTTTACAGTAACTTGCATTCACATATGACATGCGCGTCCCATATTACAGCCAGCCATCATTGCTATTCACAGTTTACTTTATGTATGCCACCCTTCCGTGTTTTAGTCCCGATATGTCGCAGTGTTTCTGAAGTGCATCACCGAAGGTGATGGTACTGGTGACAAGGGTCTCAGCATGTGGCCAGACCTGAAGCTGGTGGTGAAGTGGAGCGCGGCAACAGGCGCTATCAGGGAGAACCAGAAGGAGAGGCTGCTATACTGCCTCAACCACTCGTCGGACCACAGCAACACCTGGTCGGCCGTCGCGGCTCGCATGCGCGGTGGCATCACCCGCGTGGGCAAGACTGTCCTCTTCCGCTTTTTTGGCATTCCGCGGCATGTGGCAGATATGCCCAGAGAGGTGCCCTGGAGGGTGGTCACCTGTACGGTGTATCGCATTCCCCGCACGGCATTCGAGGCGTACCCAATTGGTGAGTGTTTGCTGTTTTTTCTTTGCATTCCAGCAAGCTCTGTGTTAATGTGTTGGTCCCGTTGCAGTTTGCTAAACAATCCGTGTGCTTATGCCACACCCCACCCTCCTGGTTCATTCTTGTTTTCTCAGCTGGGTACTCGATGCCTTGGCACTGCAACGAGGACGGCCTGCCCTTCAGCACGGATGCGTTTGAGATCTTCATCGCTGCGGCCTACTGGCGCCTCCTGCAGCGCAAGGTGCTGCGTATCTACCCGTACACGCTGGCGTTCGCCTTGTATGGGGTGAGTGCTCCGCTGATTCCATGTGCGCTGCCTTTATGACCACTTGATAAAACATTAACACACCCACTTCTTGATCTCTGTTGGCAGGCGGAGTACCCTGTTGTGCACCACGATCGCAACAGGGCTGGACTCCCCACCAAGGACACCCCCAACATCCACAACACGGATCGCATGCGTGCGATCGTGGTCAACTGGATGCGGGATGCCATCGTACGCACGTATGGCACTCCCCAGGGGCCACGCTGGGACCCTGAGGAGGGGGCGTACTAGTTTAGCGCGGGCACCCACTTCCGTGTGCTCATCGCTTTCCCCCCTCCCGTCGAGGTCAGGGCATTGCCCACAGAGATTGTCGGGCCTGAGATGAGCGATGCTGACGACGAGATCCCTACTGCTCCTGCTGGGCCTGCACAGGCCTAAAGCCAACAGATGTTGTACATAGGAGATCTTCTAAAGGGTGGGGTCATTTTTTGTGGGGTATGTAGTGCTGGGTCAATTTTTTGTGGGCTATAGTGTCAGGGGTTAGGTGCCATGTACCAATCATTTAAAATAAAAGTAGCTGTTCACACAAAAAAACATGTTTTTATGGCAAGGGTACATGCTGGACCTCCACATAAGAACATGGTAACTGTGTAACCCTGCATTTAGGCAGGTTAAATGCTACATGGTAACAATGTAACGTTATACTGTATGTCTAATGTTACAGCTGTAACCCTGATAACAGCGTAGCCATGCATTATGATCCTGTAACCATGTAACCTTGTAATTGAAAGACCTTTGGGTGTAACAGGTCAAACCGTTACCTGTGTACCAGTGTTACCGTTACTGTCAGAATGTTATTATATAGCCTGTAGTGGGGTGCTCTATAGCGGGTACAACCCAGTTAGGGTTTGCTATATGTATCCCAACTGCTGCTAGTGAAACCCCTCTTTCGCCATTCTTCTTTTGTACTGCCTACTATTCTGACATGCTATCAGAGCAGGTCGACCCCCTTGGGTCGATCCTGTGGGTGGGCCCGCCACCTAACTGCTTCCGCTGCTGTTCTGCTTCTCGCACGCCTCGGGCGCGCGCCTTCTCCTTCCTGCCGTGCGCTCGGGGCGCGCGGGGAGTTTCCGCCCGCCGTGCGCCCCGAGGCGCGCGGCGGTTTTCTGCCGTGGGGGACCCGCGCGCGACACCCCGCCCTTCCCGTCGCGGCGCCCTGGGGGATCCGCGCGCGCCCCCCCCGCCATCCCGTCGCCCGTCGTGGCGCCCTCTCCCGTCGCCCGTCGTGGCGTCGCGGGGGCCGCGCGTCCCCCCCATCCCGTCGCCCGTCAAGGCGCCCCGGGGGCCGCGCGTCCCCCCCCCCATTCGCGTCGTCACGTCGCGACGCCCTGGGGAGCCGCGCGCGGCCCCCGATTCCCCGTTGCGCCGCCCTGGGGAGCCGCGCGCGGCCCCCCGCTGCCCCGTCGCGGCGCCCTGGGGAGCCGCGCGCGGCCCCTCGCTGCCCCGTGGTGGCGCCCTGGGGGCCGCGCGCCGTCCCCCTCGCCGTCCCCCGCGCTCCTGCCCCGTGCCACCCGTTTTAGGGTTTGGGGGTGAGGAGTGTGGGGGTGGCGGTTGTGGGGGTGCCTGTTGTGTGCGCCGTCCCCTACTCCTCCTCCTCCTCCGTCTCCCGCTGCTGCAGCTGCCGCTCAGGGGGGTGGGTGTGTGGGGAGCCGAAGGAGTGGTGCTAGGGGGGTGACGTGGGAGTGGAGTTAGGGGTTCAGCAGGGGGTGTGTGTCAAGGGTGTGGGTCAGTTGGAGGAGGTTGTGTGGAGGTAGCTGTCGTGTCGCCTGCAGCGCCTGTAGTCCGTCGCCCTTGCTTCGGTAGCCAGTGAGCCTGTTGCACCAGTCGCCAGTGGGTCCGTTGCTCCTGCCGCTCGTCTTAGCCGCGGAGCCAGTCACTCCAGTAGTCCGTCGCCCTTGCTTCGGTAGCCACTGAGTCAGCCGCTCCTGTGCCCGTGCCTCTGCAGCTTCAGTCGTTGCCTCCCATCTTCTCTCCTTCCACAGTTCCTCCTCCTCCTCACTTGCCCGCTGTGATTACCTCTAGCTTTGCTTATTATTGTGAACTCCTGCTATGCCTGCTCATTGTGCTGATTACACCCCACTTTGGCTATGGGGGTGTGTCAGAATGTTATTATCTAGCCTGTAGTGGGGTGCTCTATAGCGGGTACAACCCAGTTAGGGTTTGCTATATGTATCCCAACTGCTGCTAGTGAAACCCCTCTTTCGCCATTCTTCTTTTGTACTGCCTACTATTCTAACAGTTACATACATGTAGGTTGTTTTGATGGATTTCACTTAAAGCCACACCGTAGATACGATGTGTGTAGTGTGTGGATACAGACCGATATGTACAATGAACATCTGTTCTCCCGAGTTTGTTGTATCAAGTAACGGGCGACGGTACTCCTGACTAAACAGTTAGTTTGTCGCGACCCTCGCGAGGGTAAGTTGGAGCTCACTATACGAAACGAACCGACCTCGCGATTGGCGATAGAGTAGCGGGGTTGTAAAAAAACCTATACCTACAATGCTGCCATAGCCTTAGCGCATGCAATGGTTGTTCATGGCAAATATGCGGTGGGTACTTTGTGGCGCCGCCCTGATGTTTTGGGATGAGCTAGCGGTATCCTCGCCACCAGCCGCGTCACACCAGCGAAGTATACTCCAGTAGTTACTATCGAGAAAAAAAAGGTCAACTTTCCCAGTTTCAGCTTCCAGTGCTGGAAAGAACCTCCGTCATATGCGTGCAACGGACTGCTTGAAGCGGAAGGAAGTGACAGAGATGCGCACGCAAAAGGAACTCGTCATATTCGAAGCGTGCCCAATCTATGGATATTTTCACGCCAAGGCGGAGTGTCAGGATCAGATCAGATGGATGCCGATGACCTCTGGCTGAAACGATTTCCGTGCGACTCTGTGCATCAGGTAACAAGCTCGATTATACCAATATGTGGCGATGAATTTTGCATCATTCGTTTCGCCAAAGTGAGGTGCCATCCAGGTACGGAAACAACTAGCAGCGAAGTTCTCCCGACCTATGCGATGGGAAGCACTGTCCGAGATACAGCGCAAGGAGAGACTCGCCATCCGCTCAAGCTGCCATGTACACGTTTCACAACCCAGTTATTACTTTTTTTGGGTTGCGTAGCAACCCTATACATTTGGTAGCACTTTTTGGTCGACTCGAATGAACAGTGCATTTTTTGTCATTTTCCCAACATTTAAAGCCCTCGTTTTAACGTTTTCCAAACGAGTGCTCCAAAAGTGTGGACATGACGCAAGCAATGATAACACAAGAGTCCCCAAAAAATGAAACCAAATGTAACCTTTCATTCCATAATCGTCGATAAATACGGCGAATGGAACAATCGGTCGTCACGAAACACAATTGACGAGAAACACGCACAGGACGTGAACGCGAAGCATGTGCAATGCATCCTTTGAACACGTGCAAAAACAGCACATCACAACTGAGAGTGAATGCTAAAATGCATCGGTGCTACAGCAGAGGTGGTTCCGGTATGCTAAGGCGAGCATCTTAGAATCTTAGGCATGAAGTTGTGTGAGATTAGGTCAAGGTTGGGGTACAAGACTAGAGTGTCGAGAATGTTTCTGTACCCTCTAAGGCTAGCCCCAATATAGCCTAGATACTAATATGCATATGTTTTGACACACCCCCATAGGCGAAGTGGGGGATAGCCAGCACAAGGGGTCACAAGACCAGTCAAGCAAAGCAAACCAAAGCAAAGCTCAGGGTGGATCACAACGTCACCACACATTCTGAGCAAAGGTTCAAGGCCTCAAGGCCGGTTCACATGCAGGATGATATATAGAGGTAAACAAACAAGAGCAGGTATATATAAGACACAGTACAAGCAAGGTCAAGAAGTGAGCAAGTGAGGCCAAGTAGGCACAAGACCTAGCATAGTACAAAAGCGCTGATGATCGCAAGGCGGAAGAGCCTTGGTGAAGATATCAGCAGTGTTGGCCCGAGTGGCCACGTAAGCAAGGCGTAGCTGACCACGCTGCTGCAGCTCACGAGCAAGGAAGTAGCGAAGAGCGATGTGCTTCGTTCTGTGCTCCAGTCTGTGCTCCTGACACAAGGCGAGCATGGCCTTGTTGTCTACGTACAGAACTGGAGGAGAACGAGGCGGCTCTCCAAGGTCAGTCAGCAGGTAGGTCAGCCATCGTAACTCCTGTGCAGCCATGGCTCCTGCGTAGATCTCAGCCTCACAGCTGGAGCTGAGAACAGAAGACGAGCGAGTAGACCGCCACGAAACAGAGCCGAAACCAAGGCTGAAGGTGTAACCCTGTGACGATCGCTGCGTAGCCAGGTCGTCGACCCAAGACGCGTCTGCGTGACCCGTGAGGACCACTCGACTCCGCCCTCCAAGCACGAGCCCCATGCCTGACGTACTGCACAAGTAGCGCAACACCCTCTTCGCTGCAGCCATGTGCTCTGGTCGGTGTCTCCCAGGAGCAACATAGCGTGCGAGTATGCTGAGAGGGTAGGCCAGGTCAGGTCGTGTGCAGGTCATCAGGTACATGAGGCAGCCAACAAGCTCTGGGTACGGGCCACTCGGCTCTACGGACTCATCCAAAGGCAGAGCTGAGAGCGAGTGGCGAGTAGACAGAGGAGTGGCCTGAGGCGAGGAGTACGTGAAGTCGAAGCGCTGAAGGATCTGCTGCACCATGTGTGACTGAGTCAGGGTGATGGTGCGCCGTGCTCTGTCCCGAGTGATCTGCAGGCCAAGATAGCTGCGCAGTTCACCCAGGTCTGTGCACGTGTGTCGCTTCTGCAGCTCGGACTTCACGTAGGCGAGTCCAGCAGTGTCAGCTGTAGCAAAGACCAAGTTGTCAACGTACACGAGGATGTAGAACGGCGGCAAAGAGGTGTCGGTGCGTAGAAACAGCGACGGGTCTGCAGTAGAAGGAGCAAACCCAAGAGCCGCAAGCGTAGTCCTCAGTGTGTCGTGCCACTCACGCGGCGCCTGGCGGAGACCGTAGACTGGCCGCCGGAGGCTCCACTGGGTACCAGGAGGAAACGACCCAGTGAAGCCAGGTGGGCGGCGCAGCCAGATCTCCTCGTGCAGGCTGCCCTGTAGGAAAGCTGTGCTGAAGTCTAGAGAGTGAAGCTCGTAGTCACGGTGAGCGGCTATGTGCAGGAGCACCCGAAGAGTGGTCATCTTCGGGGTGGGAGAGAAGGTCTGAAAGTAGTCAACTCCCTGCCGCTGACTGAAGCCTCGAGCCACGTAACGCGCCTTGAAGACAGGCGGAGAACCCGGCGGCCGCTTCACCCTGAAAATCCACATGCCACTGACAATGTTCGCCCCAGGTGGGGGAACCTCGTCAACGTAGGTGCCTGTGGACTTCCAGGAAGCCATCTCTGCGTCCATGGCT